CCTGTAGATGTGTTGCTCAGTAAGATACTATTATGCAGTTAGAGATTTCAGAGGGATAAAAGACATCTGAGAAACAGTATCCTTTTCAAAGTTTACTAATGTTAAATTTGTGATGCATGTTGTATCAGAAAATAGTTAAAAAATTTTTAGGGAAACATTTTGAGAAAAGCATTGGAACAAAAACTGAAAGGAAGTTTTAGAGTTTTTATTACTCTTAAGTTTCTGTACCAGTTTTGAAATTCCCTTTTTTCACTGGGGTATTTTTTGGTTTGAAATTTTTGTTGAAAACCCATAGAAGTAGAAAAAAACTGAATTGGACTAGTAAAGACATACTACCAAATACAGATTGTATTTTTTTGTATTTTTAGGCCAGCACTTTTGTACTTTATTAAACACTTAGACGTGCTTTAATTAAACAGTTCTTCATTTCAAAACAGAAATACCGGTCCAGTATCACTCTCAATATCTTTCTTCTCCTATATGGTATTGTCTGATTGTTTTGTCATCCAGGAGGTACAGTGTTGTAGATACCAGTGGGGAGAGCATCAAGGCAGTAGAGCAAGCGAGCATTCCAAAGTTATTGTGATAAGTTGGAAGGATTTCAAATGTTTCAGTCTGAAGAGGGGAAGATCTCAATCACAGGAATTAACTTCTGGGTGAAAAAAATTATTTTGCAAAAGTCTGGGTAATTCCTTTGCTTGCATACTGGTGTATGATACAAAGACTCCCTGAAACAACATCTCAGCCTTGGCCATACTGATCACCATAACTGGTCTACTCTGGCCTCCAATCGGGAGGTCTGGAGACACACCATCTATAACGCTGCTGATGCTTTTGAGAAAGCACGCAGGATCACTCTTGAGGAGAAAAGGCAACACAGAAAGAATCGTGTCTTGCAGAATATACCACCTAAGGAGTCTTTCTGCTGTGCCTTTTGCAACTGGACGTGTCTATCTCGTATTGGCCTTTTTAGCCACCAGCGCACTTGTAACAAATGTGGGTAGAGCCCTTCCCAAATCTTCGTTCACGAAGCCCAGCCATGATGATACTGATGCTGGTGCATACATTCCTTTGCATGCTTTCTGGTGTTGAGTTATTCTTAGTGCTGAACTCAGCCTTATGACTGGAATAAACTTTGTTCAAAAAAAAAAAAGGACTCCTAGTGCCATGCAAAATGTTAGAAATCCTTAAATTTAACTCATGAAAATGTCATTTCTCTTACCTCTCTACCCTAACCTCAGGAAGTGAGGAGTTTATTTTCTTTGCCTCCATTTCCAGACTCATTGAACTTAAGTTCAAAAACAAAACAAACACAAGACACACACACACCAAAAAAAAAAAAAAAAAAAAGATAAATCTAAAAAAACCTCAAAACCAAACCCTCCCACAACTCCACTCATGAAACTCAGAGGGGCTTCAGCTGCTGGATTTCTTCCATATCAAGTCTGTCTGTTTCATTTGGTGGGTTCTTACCAGCTTCCTGAAGTAGAACTCAGGCTTGTGGGTCTCTCTATGAGTCCATCTAACTAGAGGGCTTGAAGGATAAGAATAAGTAAAGGTTATGAGTGAAGACTAACAAACTCTGTAGAGAAATGTCTTGTGTGTATTTTAGTTCCTCTCCTTTAAAGAATTTTTTCTTCTGTGCCTCAGGTGAGGGAAACACAGATTCAGTGGGCTAAGTCCAAAGACCAGGATAATGTAATTACCGAGTTGTTGAGGCTCTGGATTTTAGCTATGTGCTGAGCACTTAAAGATGTTAAAAATGCAGTGGGGTTAAAGCCCCTTAGAACTGTTTATAGTATTCTTGCCATTAGGAATGCAATGGCTGAACTTGTCCATATTTGGTCAAAGGATTATGTGTTCTGTGGGGAGCATTGAACGTGCACTATTGAGATGAAGGCATTAATGCTAGAGGGAGAGATCTAAGAAATTTATAATCACAAGCTTGGTCTGAGAAGGTAAGCAACAACAGCAACAAAACAGCTTATTAAAATATGTGTGTTCTGTCAGATGCATTGTTTTTGAGTGTGGAGGCAGTACTGCTGAAATGAGAATTTTCTAAAGCTCTGCTGTTGCTTTTGTGGAGGAGAGTCAAGCCTTACAAAAACATGAGAGGTTCTTTGAAGACATCTGCATGTGTGTGACTATTATGTTACTTGTTAGCACAGTAAAATACTTTCTCCTGAACTGGGAAACAGAGGGTGGAGTTCTGTCTTTTTTTGATTAGTCTCTACAGAAACAGTGACTTGGTAAGCAGAATTGCTAAACATCCCTCCAGGAGATCGGGAAGGGAAGGAAGAGATTGAACAGTATTTTTCTTCCTCAGGCAGTGTAGACTTCTGACTTGTATACAACATGAAGAGAAGAAAGGTACATCATACTTAGTTTTGGTATGCATATGTGATCATGCAGCTGAGGAGAAAGATTAGTGAAATAGAAATGAAATGTAGTTTTACAGATAACTTTAAAAAAGTGTAACTGGCCAAAAATCCCACATAACCTTTTTTTACTACCAGGGAAAGACGTAATAAAACAATTTTCTGAGAGTATTAATTTCAAAGAAAAGTGGTTTATGGGAGTGAACTAGTTGTTGAAACTAAGGAGGTGCTGTGTGTCTTGAGTATGTCAAATGGATTTTAAATAGTAGTCTGTCCCTTGTCCTTCTCTTTTTAAAGTAAAAAATTATTATTCTTCACATAAAGGATTTTCTCTTATTCCTCAGGCTGCATTACTGGATGATGGTTTAGGTGCTAGATATATCTGTCAGGTAGCCCATGCTATTTTCTAATTTTAAAAAAGATGCTTTAAGGCAGGCTAAAGATGACAACATCTACTTATTTAGCAAAGGCAACTTCATCCCCTTTTAATCTTTTCTTTATAAAATACAGGAACGCTATGAATACTTGAAAACCAAACATTTTTTCCTGTATTTTTTATGTTCATGGCCTATATGTGTCAGTTTGTAACATTTTATTTCTGTAGTTTATTCCCTTGCTAAAAAATTGGTAAGTAAAGGATGGGAATGCAAAGTAGTTTTTTTGCTGCTGTAACAGAGGCATTTGTGTATTTATGTAACTGAATAATAATACAGGACTTGTATAAGCTTGCTTTTCCATTTCTTTATCGCTGAGTATGTATTGCATATTGACTGTGATTGTTTTGGTTCTGTGAGACTTTCTTGGAAGCCAGAGTATTTGGGGAGGGACAAATGAGGTTGTGAACTGAGCATCTAAGTAGCTGTTTGTACCACCTAGTTTAGCATGGTGCCCTTGGGCCAAATTGCTTCTTTTCAAGGTTTCCACAAAATTCTGCTCTGACCTGGGCATCCTCCCTTTGAGGAGCTGTACAAGTTTGTGTGGCAGAAGGGTCTGTTCTGGTTGTAAACAGGATCTTTCTCTCAGTTTTTTTTTAGCTGATCAGATACTTACGAACTTTATGGAAGGACTTGTTTCCTCTGCTCTGTGGAGGGAGGAGAAATAGATGGTTATAACTTCTTCTTTCCCTTCTGGCTGCCATTGGCAATTATGACAGATGGTGTTGGAGATACACATGTAGAAGTGTGTTATGTACAGCATCTCTTTACAGCATCCTTGAGCGAAGACAGTCAAAATCTATTATATGTTCCTATATCATACTGAAGGTACCATGTCCAAATTCTCTGACCCACAAAGGCATGTGGGAGATCTTGTTCTTCATAGGGTGTTGAGATCAGTTTGTCATCAAATTCGTAGTAGTAGTGGACCCTCGTGCTAGCAAACTACACAAGTATACAAACACAACAGACACAATTTCCTGCACTATAATTAGGAGATCAGGAACTGTTAACCATGAAATGTTTGAGTGCAGCCACTGAGAATGTGATTTTTTCAAAAATTGCTACCTTTTTGTTCTAGTTGACCACTCAGCTTCCTAACCGCTTTTTCCATATGGTTTTTATTTGTTCTGTAATTAGTAAAATATGTGTCTTCTCTGCCTGATGCCTTCATTTCAGCTGTGCTCTGCCAGCTAGGGAGGACATTCTACCATCTATCCTGTGGACCTCAGTCTGAAAGAGACACTTGTTCCTGAGTATCCATATACTGCAAGAGATTGTTTTTCCTCTCAAGAAAGAGGAAGTGTTCAGTTGGACTGATTATCTCCATGTAGTTAACCTGTTTTGTCATATTATCTTCCTAATGCAATTATTGAAGATATTTAAGGATTCTGCGAGGCTTCACCTTGTGCTTGGAGTTCTAGGCTTGTAGTGCAACCTGGACTTGTTGACCTTGTTCTTTGATTTGATAGCAAACTTGAATGCGTTTCTTTAAAAAGGGGCTTTTTTGGTCACTGGAGTTTTTGCAAGAAAGTAAAATCCAGACACTGTTTTCAAATTGTTTTCTTCTTTAGAGTTGTCTCAGTTTCTACCCATGATTTTAATTAATTTTACAACCATATGTATGGAACCAGCAGGTTACCAGTTAGTATTCTTCCTTGATCCTTTTACTGAGAATTTGGGCATCTTTACCTGTTATGTGAGAACAGTTCCACCATGAGTGGTCTGAGAAGAAGGCTGCCAATCAGGGAAGTTCAGACCTTGCTCCAACACAAATTCTTTTCACTGTGTCTTTGCTTTCATTGTTGAAGTTCTTGTAGCTTTGAGAAATGTACCTCACACCTCTTAGCTCCTTGTGAGAATACTGGGAAACACCAGGCTACTACAGGATTGACAAACAAAACATGTTTCCAATTAAACACAAAAATAAAAGTGATGAAGCCATTAAATTTGTAAAATTGGAAATCGCTTGGAATTAAAAAAAAAAGTTTGATTTTTTTTTCTTACGGTGAGATCAGAGTTCAAGGTCTTGCAGTTCTATACATGATGTGCAATTCTGCACAAGAATTCAGGATTTTTGTAAGTTATGTTAAATGTCTGAAAGTGGGTATGGTGAAAGATGCTTATGTCAGTTTTAAAAACTTGATGGAGCTTACATACGGTTTAACAGTATTTTACATTTATTTAGGTTCCTCTAAAGAAGGAGGAGCTGGAGCTGTGGATGAGGATGATTTTATTAAGGCATTTACAGATGTTCCTGCTGTACAGGTAAGATGCTGTGTATATTCGTGTTTGTTTTCAGAAATATACTATTTGCAATATCTGTTAGCCTGCTTTTGAAACTTCTGTAATTTTACAGTGTTCTAAGCAAGTGTCATTTTACTTCTTCCTGAATTTACGGTCTCCACGGAAAGGCCTTCACTTTTTCCAGTTAGTTACCGAAAAACCCCGCCTTTTCTTTACTGTTCTACGAATCATTATCACATTGTATAAAATCCATTATTGTTTTTCTTAATCTTTTCAAGGGAACTACAGAAAATAATTGTATGTTTTAATGAGAAAAAGACTTCCATAACATTTGGAAATTTTAGGGCTGCAATTTCAAGGGATAATCAAGTAATAATAATAGAGGCAACTAATTTATAAAGCAAGAGTTGTATTTTCAAATGTGCCTGAATTGTAATGATGTGTGTCTGGCATACATGTCCTCATTCTAGCAATATTTTAAAACATGAAATCTAGTCCCTTATTTTCATACTAATGAACTTACTGGATTCCGAGTTCTTAATTGAAAGATCACATTTTAATTTCTATTCTTTAAGCGTGGGAATTGCACATATTTGGTACTTTCACACAGTTGAGTCATTTAACATACGTGTAGTTTCCTAGACCTGTTTTGAATAAGTTTTCCTTGAGCAGCTAAGGTGTGGAAGGCAACCAAAAGTTAAGTAGGCAACCAAAAATTAAGTAAACCATAGTTCCCAAACAGCAGAAGGATTTTGTAAGACTCTCTTTTCTTGATATGCACTTCTGTTCTATTTTTATATCCCAAGATGATAGCATAGTCATTTGCTAGATCTCCTTCTGCAAGCAGAAATACTGTCTGCTTTCATGAAGGAACACTCAGTCTCCATGATCCCTGTCACATAAAGGAAATCTTTGTCTTACAGTGTAAGAGCTTTATGTTTCTTTGACTCTTCAGACTGTGTTAAGAATTCTTTGGAGGACAAAAACATGCAGCTCTTAATATTATTTATCCCCATTATGTTAAACAGAGCCATATTCAACAGTACAGAGATTGTGATGCTTGTAGTTCAGTGCCTTAGTATTTGCAGTCCCAAGCAGAGTTCTTTAATCACTCAGACTGGTTAATAACATTCTGTCTGACTGCTGGATGGCCTGAGAAGGTAGATCATTCCCTAAACTGCAAGAGATAAAGGAGAAAGACACATTTGTCTTTACTAATCTACCCTTAGTTGAATAGGAGGCAGGGGAGAAATGTGTGACTGACTCCAAAATAACATATTTTTTTTGTGGTTGAGAACGCAAGGAAAAAAATGTGACTTTTTTTTTTTTAGTGTCCTTAGGAGTAATGACTTCGTACTGTCCAACTTCATGCTTCTGGTTGTGGACAATCTCTGATCTTTCAAAAAAGAAAGACAGGTTCCATGTTCTGAGACCATGTTAATTAGGAAGGAAATTTCCATATTAGACCTGTAAAGAAAGAATGTTTATGCCCTGTAATTTTCCAAGCTATTCTAAAAGCAAAGGAAACTTGTTAGACAGCATGGAAAAAGGGAGTTGTTTGTACGTTACTAGGCCCATTCCTGTGTACCTTCTGTTTTCATTACATTTATGGTTCTCAGTAGTGTGTTCATTGAAAGAAAGGAAACTATGTTATGGAAAACCAGATCCAACTCTGGATTAAGTGCATCTGGATTAATCAAGTAAATAGAGATTACTTACAGTGTGTGTATGTTTTAAGTAATTCTTAAAAGCCAGTGGTAGATCTGACTTTCCAGTAAGCTGTTCCTATGCCTGCTCATCTTTTTTTAGGAATATCGTATTGTTTACTCATACCTAGTTTTTAATCCCTGTATTGAAAATACTTACCACCTGTATAGTTATTACTCTTACTTGTGTCTAAGCTTTTAATTTGTCTGTCTTTGATGTTGCACTTAGCTTCAGTGATGCGTGTGTATGTTGCCCTCTCATGGATAGCAGCAGTTACAGCGAAAATGGGTGATTTTCAGATGTAGTCTGGTGGATCTGTGTTCCTAGAAGAGAAGTACTGTGGTGACAGGATTGTACCTTATATTTAAGATTACAGCTATGATGTTTTTACAGCTCTGTTTGTTTGTCGTTGCTGAAACTGAAGTAAATTCTGTGTTCAAATTATTAGGAGTAACTGACATGAAGAGCTAAAATATGTTTTATAGAAGTCTGATATCGGAACTTAGGAACAAAACATGCATTATGTCATTGCCTGAGCACATAATTTCATCTTGGCCTTCTAAAAGCATAATTAATGAAGGTCGGGGATGAAAGAAATTATTAAAATATTGCCTTTTATTCCTATGAAATTAAAATAGGTATGGACAACCTTGACAAATTGGGATTTTTCAGCGGAATTACGGTTGTCATTTCATGACAAGATAAAATTATACCATTTAATAAATTCCTCATTGTTATGCCAATTTCAATATGCCTAGGTCCAGTACTGTTTGTGCCAGGTAATTATGGAAAAAATTAAATTCTTTGTCTAGGAACGCTTATAGTGTGGACATAAACCCATTGTATATGTTGCTTCTGTGTTTGTCCATTGTCTAGCATGTTTTAATCTTGCAGGCATTACTGTAAAACATGGTCTCTGATGACACACAGGCTGACAACAAAAAAGTCCTATTTTCAGGGTTTGCTCACTGAAACTGTTTGCAAAAGGTGTTTGTACCGTGACCAGGACTTCAGACTAAGTTTTGAATGTGTATTAAACAGACTTTAGTTAGATGACACCAAAAGGCGTGGTCCTGCTTCCCTTCTTGTTACACTTCATTTTTTTATGAGAAGTTGACAGAAATGCTGAGTTGCCAGAGAAATTTTTGCCTTTACACTTGTAGGGATGAGCTTTTTTGTATGTTAAAGCTCTGAATTGAGAAGGTGAATGTCCAGGTAGGTGATGGTAAAGAGAGATCCTGAGGAGGTTGAATCATGTCACGAATTCTGATGACATTAAATGTCAGTGTAATATGAAGTTGCATCTTGAGTTAACCAGTGACTAGTCCATTATACTTTTAAAGAAAAATAAAAATTTTCTTTCATAATGAAAATTTAATTTGATAAAAATGCTTACTGACACAGATATAATACTTATTTTTAAGAGTATGGTACTTATAGAATTAGTGTTAGAGTAAACTAGGGTTGTGTAACAATTACTAATAGGCTACCAGTATACACAAATATATTAAATGGTGACACAAAACTCATATTCGATTTTGTCAGCAGTGTAGTAGAAAGTCTTGTTACGCTTGGACCCACAGTTGTCATTAAGTCATTTGCTCATTTTAAATAAGTTATGCATCAGATGTTTAATGACTTCCAATCAAGAAGAAAACAGTAATCATAAGAAATAGCTTTCTAGTTTTTATGGGTGCAGTCACTAGGAATAACTTTCTAGTTTTTGTGTAGAACGGCAGAGCTGCTGCTACAGTGTACCTTGGAAAAGTTCACACAGCTGTGTGGTAGTAAGAATTTCAGTTTTGATGGTAAAGCATGTTCAGAAATTGTTTTCCGTGTGATAGTGAAGGTGGCCTGGGTGTACTAATTGGTCTGCTTCTGAAGAGATTTCTATTCTGTTTATCCTATAAACCCAGTATGCAGGTGGTTTAGAGTATGAATGTCTTTCATCTCATCCATGTTCTGGCATGGAATACAGAGGCCTCCATAACCATTGGAAATGCATTGGAAAAAAGTAGATTCCAATAGAGTCAAGGTCCCTTATCTTCTCTAAGTTAAAATCATTGGATATGCCCAGGAAACTGGAGAACTAGATTGTGTTTGGAATAACCCTCGTAGTAATTTGAAGTTGCCTGGGAAAATAATATGTTTTATAGAAAATAATCATTTAGCTTAACTGTAGAGCAGAAGAAGGACATTCCCTCTTTTTTACTGTAAAATAAAAGACCCATATGTACATGCAGAAATCTGTGTCTTCAAAAGACTAGTGACAAAGCTTTTCAGCAATTCATGCAAAGCCAGTTGTCCTAACCACTGACCCTTGTTTCTTCTATGTGCTCTTGCACGTGCAAAAGTCATGTCTTGTACTTAAATAATGAGGGAGCATCAGGCCCTATTATGTAGGTGCTGTGTAGGTTATCATGCTGGGCTCCAGGTTTCACTGTAGAAAGGTAAGAGTTTCCTTGAAGTCTTCACCTGTATGTGGCTGCCCCATGTGAATGTCTTGAATGTGTCTCAGGTGGCCCCAGATGCTTGTGTATGGGCAACTGAGTTTTGCCCAGTAAATTTTAAACGTATGTAAAAACCCTTTCCATCCAAAAAATTGGCAATGTTTAGCTGAGAGTATGTGTCTTGAAAAAAGCTCTGGCCAGATTAAGTTTTGGGTTTGTAATCTGCATCACATCCTCTTAAACGTGTTCTCAAACTAGGGAAAAAAAAAACCTTTAGATTTGACATATGCAGAAAAAAGCATCCTGTGACTTACATCCAGGAGAATAGAAGGGAAGTCAGTTTATTTGACAATAATTTGTTTACATGACAAGGTTATTTTTTTTTCTTCTCTTCTTTAGAAATCTGCTCTTGTGCAGTTACCGGTAGTGCATTAATTCATGTTTAACCAAATAGTGACTGTTGCATGACTAGATTGTTCAGGCTTCAATTTTGATGGTCTTACTGTGTAGTGAGAATTCTGACTAGAGGTGACTCCTTATATTTATTTACTGACTGTATAAGTTAATAGATTATAATCTTGAAGTAATAATACATAAAGAAGCTGTGGAAGCCTTAAATTTATTTTTTCAGACAAATTTTTATTTTCTGTTGACTCAGCCTGATTAGGTCCTCAGAGAGCCATGCACTCTTGGAATGCAGAAGAGAGCCCCTGCTCCAAAAGAGTTGCATTGGGTTAAAATGTTGGTCGTTTCACAGTGGTGAAAGGTAAAATCTTGAGGAAAATGTTACTTTTTCAGCTTTTCTTTTAATGATATTCAGTACTCAGTGATATCTTTACAGATTTGTCTTAAGACGCCTATTTATACCTCTTACACAGTTCTCTGGAACTTTTGGGGGAAGATTTTCAGAATTAGAATTGTATTTTCAGTCTTCTCAAGCTATTTTCCTTCATCTGGTTACCTGGAATATTAATATGAATTTTCTGATTTTTTTTCTTAATACTTCAGATCTATTCTAGTCGAGAACTTGAAGAAACGTTGAACAAAATCAGGGAAATTCTCTCAGATGACAAACATGATTGGGATCAACGAACTAATGCGGTAAACTTTTTATCTGGTTTCAGGTTTGGGTAGGTGAATTTCATAAAGCACAAGCAGCCGGATATTTTAGCAGTTTTGTCTTGAAGTAATTGCACTCCAGATAATTGACGAAATTTTCATTCTTAAGCCTTGAATTTCTGTATGCTGAGTAAGTTTGAGCAAGTATTTTTAAAAAGCCAAAATACATTTTTGCTGATATTTAAGTGGAAGCTTTTCTGAAAACCATCATATATATTTCAGTTCAGCATTTATGCAAAATTACGTATTCTGCAGGCTAACTACTAGCATTAGTGCCTCTTATGTGTGGCCATGATAAATTTCACTTGCAGGATTAAAATGTTTGTGTGTATCCAGCATTTATATTTTTTTACCAGGTTTATGGCATCTTAGAGTTTAGAAACAGATATGTGAACAGAATTATGTCTTTCCGTATTTGAAGACTAGGTTCTGAGATTTTCTTAGCTCTAGAATTTAAGTAATATAAATTTGTTACAATTATTTTAATTACAGCCATATCTTTCAAAATTGCGCTTTAAAGACGTGCCTGCATACATTTTTGCATAGTGAAGCTATTCCTTTTTTTTTTTTTTTTAATTTTGAAATGCATATTGCTAGTGTCCTAAACTATATGCCTTAATCTTTTTAGCTGAAGAAAGTTCGATCATTGCTTGTTGCTGGAGCTGCACAGTATGATGGGTTTTTCCAGCATTTACGGTTGTTGGATGGTGCTTTCAAGCTGTCGGCCAAGGATCTCAGATCCCAGGTGGTTAGGGAAGCGTGCATTACTGTAGCGTAAGTATGGTTCATGTGCATTTGTGTGCCCTGCTGGATGTTAGTGGGAATTTGACTTAGAGGTACTTTGTCAGTGTTGCAGGAAAGATTATCTTGGACTGCTGTACACTGTGACTGATGAAGACTCAAGTCAGCATCTGAAGCCTTAGAGAAAAATAAATGGTTAAAGGAATTTGTTCTCGTAGGTGATACATGTCGTTGATAATGCTGTAGCAGATTCTGTGTGAATAACAAGTCACCGTGGTTACACTGAGTACTTGATGCAAGTTAGTACACGTTGCTGTGACTAATACTGGGGGCCAGTCTTAGGATCTCTTACGCTTGGGTGATTGGCACAGAACTTTAATGGGACTGCTTGAAATAATAAAGTGAACTGGCCTGTAGTGGTTTGAACATCATGCATTTTGGTGAGGTAATGTCTTTCATAGACTCGTAGAATGGTTTGGGTTGGAATGAACCTTAAAGATCATCTAGTTCCAACTCTTCTTTGTGGGCAGGGACACCTCACACTATAAAGGGTTGTTCAAAGCCCCATCCAGCCTGGCCTTGGACACTTCCAGGGTTGGGGCATCCACAACATCTCTGGGCAAGAGAGATGTCCATGATAATTTTAGAAGCCATGGCTAAACTGAAATGGGATCTTCACCCTTAGCATCTTGCGGACTCCATTAAATTCAAGGGCGGAGAGGAAAGACAGAGTAGTCTTTCCCACTTCCATATTTTTTTTCCCTCTGGAAAGGCATGAATGTAACAACTGATTTTCAGTCGCCATCTGAAACAAATACACCTCAGAGTCTACCATGGCTGTTTTCATCTCCGAATTGAACAGACCAAGAGGAAATGTTGGAACATATAACTGTTCTTACCAGGGAAATTGAGGCTTCCTAACATGCAGTCAGGAGTAGTGTAAAAGTACTGTGTAAATGTTCTCATCCAGGCCTAAGAGCCTGGAGTTTTTCTTGATCCCTAAAACTTGGGTATGTTTGATGTGTCATTTGCTGCCAGCTGCAAATGCTTTTTTTATAATCTCTCTGCATGAAAAAAGTATTTGTTGTCACCCATGGACAGTTGAATTACTGTGATGTATGTGTTTGTATATTTGTTAAAATTGAGAACCTAACCTTTAATATACAAGGAAGTCAAATTTTATGGTTGACTAATTGTGATGAATTCAGTAGTTTTGCCAAAAGGCAAAAGAAACTAAAACAGTAATTTATGTAAAATTTTAGATTTATATGTCTCTAAGTGTGTTAAAAACAGAAATACAATGATATTTTATGGGGATGTGAGAATTTAGGCTTTCAGATTTTGGTATTTTTTCATTATGAAATCAAGTTACTAATATTTAGCTTCATAATGTGTCTGCTAAGTAGCAAAAATGTTCCACAAATCCTGCATTTCTGATGAGGTGAGGACTTGGGAATCATGAAATTGAGAAACTCTGTGTTGAAAGATAAATTTTTAAAATCCACTGTGAACTTCGTTATTTTAAGACTAAGAAGTTCGTTTCTGTTAACAAGTTGTGTTTTCTTTTCCCGAAATAGCCACCTGTCAACTGTTCTGGGAAACAAGTTTGATCATGGCGCTGAAGCTATTGTGCCTACTCTTTTTAATCTGGTTCCCAACAGCGCCAAAGTGATGGCAACTTCTGGGTGCGCAGCCATCAGATTCATTATTCGGGTAGGTGTAGCTCTCTCACTTTGCTGGCTACAAATCATCAGGTAGTGGCTCTTGGCAGAGATAATAACAATTCTGGTAATAACAACAACAGGCTTGTAAATCATTCTTCAGCAGAGAAGTAACATTTCTCACAGGCGGACAAATATTATTTATCGATGAAACCGACTGGCAGCACTGTCATAGTAAAGACAGAGGAATAGGTATGAAAAGCAAGTCTCTTTTCATGCTTGTTTTCTTTTTTCGGTAGTCTGTTAATTGTAAAAAGGCAGGTGTATTTCAAAGGGTAACTGCTTTTAACTGATGTTTTAGGAAAGACAAAGTTAAGCTAGTACTTAGGAAGCTAGTGAGATAAAAAAAAGAGATCTGAACAACAAAATAAAGCTATTTCTTTCTGCACGCACACTCCTCAAAAAAAAAATCTGAAACCATGAAGTTAATGACAAAGTGTTGAAGAGGCCAGACATGGGTGGATCAATTCAGAAAGCAGAAGTTCGTGAAAAAATAATCCAATAGAGATTCTAATCCTTGGGTTTAAGAACTTTCTAAGATGAGTCCTTAAAGCTATAGCATACAGAAGAGAGGAGTGCTGTATACTAGCTGGTTTTTACTGTATGTTCCTTAAGCATCTTCTGCTGACTGGTGTTTGAGGCAAGATATTTAGATTTTTGCGACTTGTATTGATATTTTTGTGTTTCAGATGAAAGTGGGAGGTTGCCTGTAGTTTCTGCATTAAAAGTTGTGGTGTTCTTAATGCTAGGCACTTAGTGCTATTCACTATGATCTCATTGGTGGTTTTAGTTTTGTAAGTATTTGGAAACCTAAGTGGTTTCATCACTCACACCTTTTATTGCCATCCTCAGTGTGTTTTGGAATCTGTACTTATTCTGTCTGTCTGTGCCTTTAAGAATGTGCTTTGAGACTTCTGCATGCATGATCTTTGTATCAACACTTGGAGTTAGATAAAATCCCTCAGCATTTTTTCACAGACTGTTACACTGCACTGTGGGGTGACACAGAGTTGAGTTACAGAAGAAATACACCTTACACAGGATCATTAAAGTTATAAGAGAACAATACCATTTGCAGTAGTCTTAGACGAGCTCAGGCATGTAAGAAACCATGTAAGAAACAAAACCAGTGTTTTGTTCATAGGAGCACCAGAAAAGCAGCATGAAATAAAAATTCACCAATTTTATTAAATCGGCTTTATCGGTTCAGTTCAGTTAGAAGACAAACTTGCACATCAGCTATAGTGGCCCTGATTTTGTTTACATTTCTGTTCTTCTTAGCTGTAGTTTAACATATTGTCTTAGAAGCACAAAAGCAAGAAAATCCTCTCCATAGTGTTTAAATACCCAACCAATAAATGGCTTATGCAAGGTGTTGGCAGAAAATTCATGTTTCAGTGGAAAAAGAAGTAAATATCAGAGTCAAACAGAAGTGCAGCCCCACGCACCCTTGGACTTTTATCCTTTGGACTAAATGAGTGTTGATCTCAGGGTGTGTGTGATCAGTTGAATGTTTAGAGCCCAAGCTATTGCTTGGAGTCAGTGTTTTGTTCAAAAACTACTACCAGAATCCAGGGACAGCCAGTTCAGTTTCTGGTGCTTTAGTGTGTAACTGCAATGAGAGTGAGTCTACATAAAAAGAGAGATGCTGTATTATACTGGTGATCTTGAAGAGCTTCATCTCATCTTTGTGCCTTTATTGGATTTCATATTTCTTCTCCAGGTAGTTCTTAGTGTAGTCTGATTTCTCTTTCTTCACTCTTAGTAAATCAGGAAACCAATTTAAAAAAAAAAAAAGTGTGGGGGGTTGGGGAAGGAATCATGGAGAGATGGCATGATGGCAGAAAATCTTTTCCAGAAGGAGGTGGGATTCATGTTAGTCAACTGAGCTGCAAGGTAGTTTGGGAGGAAGCATGTATCATTACAGCCTCACAGAAGTAACAGATGAAATGTGCAGTCTTGAAGCTGAACGAGAAAGCAAGCCTGAGGCTTTGATTCCTTTGCAAAAGACTTTCTAGAAATAACAATGCCAATAGCTCCAAAGACTTGAAATGTACAGGTTTCTTCAGCTGTAAAAGCATTTTATTTTTATCCCTGATATTGCCTCCTGTCCCTTTCTGGCAATAATATGCCTCTTTTCAATTTGCAAACTATGCAAACTGCAAACAAACTCCCTAAAATCGTGTTTGAAAGTGTATCAATATGAACAAATGCAACTGTTAGACTGTTCCACATTTTTAATTAATTCCTTCCTAAATCTGAAGTTGGCAGTATTCTGTGAGCTGATCATTATCTCTCTGCTTTTATGGTGATTTGTGTGTTTATATCCTGCAGGTATAACCTAAGGACAAAGTATGATACATGAAATAGTACTTTTTAAGCTGTTGTTTGTTTCTATTAGCCTACAGTTTGACACTGTACTGGGGAGTATTTTAAAAGTTACCGTAGGTATTTAATAAAGGACTCAAGAAATTAACTGAAAATAGATTTGTTGAACCACGTTACTCTTCCTTGGAATTAAGATAGTAGTACTTTGTGCCTACGATTAGTTAAGATAAGCTGAAGTAAGGCTGCTTTAATTCTGAATTCAAGTATTTCATTTGGATTTAATGTAGTTTATCTTATCTGCCTTAAGTGGTACTTGAGTAGTTTTCTTTTCCCATCAGAGTGTTAGGTGTTTCCATATAGGTTATATATATAAGCTTGCTTATGTTATGTGTCAATGCTTTTATTACTTTATTGACATATTTTGCATTAAAGGGAATTTGGTCTTTGTAGCGCGAAATATATTGATCCCTAAAAGAATGCCCATAGTTTCAGGTTTATTGATTTACTTTTTGTTCCATAATTGATTTTTAAGACTGCTATTCCTTTTTTTTTTTCCTGTGGCAAAACTAGAATAACACCAGCTTTCAACTCCTTTGAGGCAGCTACATTTGAACCTTCGTATATTACTTCTGACAGCAAAATATTGCGTATCATGATGTGATTGTTGATGGCATCGGAAGTGACTTTTGCTTGACCTTTTGGAAAAAAGTAGCTTTAATCAATTGGCATGCTAGCAGCAGTCTGTTATTTAATAGTATTCTATGATTTAGTTTTGATAAGCATTTTATTATGTTGTTAATTCTCTTTGACTTAATTAGTACAGTACAAATTCAGAATTTAGGAATGCTTTTGTCATTAACTTCTTTGTCCTTTTTTCTTGTTAGCATACTCATGTGCCACGACTCATACCTTTAATAACAAGCAACTGTACCTCAAAATCAGTTGCAGTTAGAAGGTGAGTACCTTATAAATAAAAAGCAACAGCTTTAATAATTTTCTAAAATATGGTTATCATATGTTGAAAATGAACAGATTAGAAGATTTATGGCCGTTAACGCTGAATACACAATACTATTATCCAGAAAACTACCAAATTAATTTCAACCACTTGCCTCCACTTGCAGTGGCTTTACTGAGGAACATTAGACTGTAGGTGGCTTTGGTACTGTGAGCATCAATGAAGGCAGTGTTTCCACGCTGCTTTCATTCCTTTGGAAAGACAACAGAACACTAGATTGGTTGCAATAGTGAAAAGCCCTTCAGGGTTTCTTGCCCTGCCTTGCTGGTGTCCAAAGGATTTGAGCAGAATAAAAATAAAATCTGTCCCTGCAGAACAGGTCAAAGATGGTACATAACCAGAAAAAGTCACAGTTCCAGGCAACTGAGTCTACTACCTGTTTGAAAACTTATGTACGCCTCCCTAATCTGTGTCAGTTTGATTTTTTTCATCATAATGTAACTTTAGACATAGTTTAAAGTATGCCTGTTGCTAATGGCTGTTTGCTGAATTGTCAAGATTTCCAAATTAATAATGTATATGGTTATATAACTTCATTTGTACAGTGCCAGCAAATCTTTTGGAGTGCTTTCTATATGCAGAGCCCTGTACTAATGATCTCATGTTTTCCTTTATGCTACATGCTCAGTAATGACAGATGAAAGGATGGGAATAGTGTTTGGGACAGAAATACACTACTAGAGAAATATTATATTGTGTCTTTAAGTATTTACTTTTTATGTTAAGATTTTATACTCTGTACAGTTTTTTTTAACTTCATTGAGTTTTGTCTGTTATTTTGGGGCTACTACAATTAACTTAGCATATGTGTAATAACATGACTTGAGCAGTGCATGGTTAATTGAACTACATCTATTATTTTGAAGTTTAAGATTAATTAGCCTGCGTATTTGTTTTCTCTACAGAATATTTTAACTTGCAGTAAGGTGACCGGTGTCCTTCCTTACTTGACAGAAAAATGTACTTTTATTTCATTTATTTTCCTCAGGGGGAAAGAATAAAGTCAGTGTTTATTCCACAGCCACATTAGAGAAGTGAGTATTAATTATAACTTTTGTTCTGTCTTTATAGGCGCTCCTTTGAATTTTTAGACCTGTTGTTACAAGAGTGGCAAACACATTCATTGGAAAGGTATGGGCCAGTATACTTTTTTCCCAAGAATGAACTGCTAATGCAATTTAAGACAAAAATATTGTCATTGAATCCTTTATTGGATTATGTTCAGTGTTGGCCAACCTTTCAAGCATAGACAGCCTTTCTGGCACAGCAGGTCACATGGCTCATTCAGGTGCTGGGGAAAGGAGAGCTGTATGCTCCAGCCTTGGCTTCCTGTTGCCCCCTCTCTTTACCCTCTGCCTCTTCTTCTATACTGCATGTGAGCAGTGCACACACAGGTAAGCATCTGTCTTTTCTCCTGGAAGGAGGAAACTTGTGTGTTTGACATAAAACAGGGCAAGTGAGATTAGGCTGGAGGACTTTTTCTGGTAATGAGTAAGAGCATGCTGTAGCTTCTCCAGAGAGGTGGGAAAATACTACGTGCATCACTTCTGCAGGATGGTCACTGTAAACACAAAGTAAGAGCAGAGAGACTAAAGGGCATCCAGAGAAGGCTCTGAAGAGTTCGTCCAGCTCCATAGTCACATTCTATTCCTCAGTGTGCTCCTGAGAAAGGGAGCAATGGGGAGTTCATTTGATTTATGTCAAAGTTTCTAAAAAAAAAACAAACAAACAAAAAAAAACCAACAAAACACATAACCCCCAAAAAAACCACCTCCACCTTTCTCCTCCAAAAAAGCAAAATAACAAACCCGCCACCCAAAACTTACCTTGAATTAAAATTTGTTTATTGTCACAGTTTTGGTCAGATTTAGAATTCATACGCCAAAAGCTTTCAGAGCCAAATTTCCAGTAAGAGGACTTGCTATTCTTAACTTTTCCCTTTTTCTTACTATTAATATAGTAGTGGAAAAAGCTTCTGCATTTCAGGAAAGCAGGTGTCTTAAAAAAGGGTATTTAAAATAATTTTTTAAGTGTGATAGGTGGGCGTATGTCAGAAAAGTAGATTAAAATCCGTATGGATTGAAGGAGGAAGCTGACCTGAAACTGTACAGAAGGTGCAGTTATGTTATCAGTGTGCTTAAGTGTTTGTTTACTGCATACCGTGGAAAGAACTACTATTACTTGGAGTAATGTTAATTAAAGTGTAAAACTACCACTTAAAATAGATTTTGGAGTAGCAAACTAAGCATGAAGAGTGTCTTTCTTCTAGGCATGCAGCTGTCTTGGTTGAAACAATCAAGAAGGGCATTCATGATGCTGATGCAGAAGCAAGAGTGGAGGCAAGAAAGTGAGTTTTGACTACATTTTCCTCTGAATAATTGTATGTGTTAGATGAGTGGTAGAAGGCTCTAATCCAAGGTGAGCTGCTAACTGTGGCTTGATAGAAGGACGTAAGTTTGCTTGCAAATTGATGTTTCTCTTCTTCAATTACTATCTCGTTTCTTTTGCAAAAGACATTCTGAAAGCTGAGTCAGTCAATACTGTTGTGCGGCATTTGATGATTTTACTGAAACAAGAGTTACAAAGGTTGATATTGCTGCATAATCATTCTTCACCCATTGATTAAGCACTTTGACTAGCTAGAAGGTCAGAAAAGAATTCCTTTAGCTTCCCCACAGGACTGGTAAGTGAATGTGAGAAGTTCAGAGGGTAGACTTAAGTTATTTTGAAAAGATTAATTTAGTCAATGTAGCTGTTTTCTTTTATGATTTGATGAGCAGTATTGTTTACATTACATATTTTCAGTCTGAGTTCCTTTCCCTCCCACCCATGGTTCATTCTGTAATCTTTACTTCCTGGCTCCTCACTTTAAAGAAAACACAGAGCATTTACATGTGGCTATTCTCTTTTGCAGGGCTTATATTGGTCTTAGAAATCACTTTCCTAGTGAAGCTGAGACTCTGTACAATTCTCTGGAGCCACCCTATCAAAGAAGCCTTCAGACGTACTTGAAGAATTCTGGCAGTATAGCATCTCTCCCTCAGTCAGACAGGTCATCCTCCAGCTCACAGGAGAGCCTCAAGTAAGGGACACTTAACTGTTTCTGAGCCAATAAACAAATGCAAACTGTTCCTCAAGAGCAAATGAGCCAGGTTCCTGTTATATACAGAAAAGCTCAAATTTCATTTTGTCACTTCTTATTTTTTTATTGTGTTTTGCTATGTGACAGTATTACCCCAGCGAGGTGAAAAATAAGGGCAGTCATTAACTGGATTTTAACAGATTGTTCTTATATATATTTATTCCTTAACAGCCTCTGTTAACACAGAATATTTTCAAGGTTTACATATTAATGTCCGGCATTCTGGTGCAATGAATAAATCTAGGAAAGGTATAATGGTGTTCCTCCTATTTTATCCCTTTTTACTGGCAAGCATGAGAAAGGGACATCAACAGTGAAATTCATTCAGATTGGAGATCATTTCTTTTTCCTTGTCTTCACAGTTCTGAATATGTATTAGCAGTAGTTTGCAGCTATTCTAGTTAGTAGAGGATTGGGTCTGTGCTGCAGTCAGTGGTGTTATTAAAATGCGTAGACATCCTTGAGCTGAATAAATTAAAGTTTGCTTGGACACCAATAGCAAAAGAAATCTACTGCCTTTTTAGTAAAAATGTGAAGTAGTAATAGTATGTGGTGATTCTTTTTTTCTTTTAAATTCTAGAGAGCTTCCTCAAAGTATTAAAACCTGTTAAGATTTCAATTCAGATGTTTCATTACCAAAGCCAGAGAACTTTTCTGCTCACTTTTGACTTGAAAGCAAAGACTGCTTCTAGCATATTGAAGTTAATTTTTTTCTCCTTTTTTTTTTTTTTTTTGGTTGCTACCTTGAATACCAGAGGTTTATCTTATCTTTCCTATGATGCTTGTAATTATAAAAAACGTTTTAAAAAATAGTCTGTGATGTAAGCTGTTGCTAGCACTTCTTTGGCCACAAAAAAATGTTTATTCAAAGATTAAATGTTCTTCTTTAAATTAATCTATATTCCCCATCTGAAAATCAAAGTGCAGTTAATGAGTTGCTAGTAATAAACTGTTAAAAACTAAATTACAGGGAAATTAGAATCTTAAAATGCTCTTAAATCTTCAAGTATTGGTTCCTATATTGCAAGACATGTAAAGTGCTACACTAGAGAAAGTGAGGAGTAATATAAGAAATGAACAGACGAGATTATGCTATTAGAAATTACTTACATTTTAATTGATTTTTCACTGATTTTGCATTCAGATGGATGTTATTTTTACCTTGTTACCTAGAATTTTATTTCTGGCTTTTAATATAGATGCTGAATGCCCCCTGTGTAGACTAACTTAGGAAATATGGGAATGGTTTTTCTGAAAGTGTGATCCTCTGGGATTTTTGAACCTCTGAACTTACAGGTCTTACAGATCATTGATCCAAAATGGTTTTAAAGAGGATGATGGCACGAGAGAAATGTGGTGACTTGTGCCTGTCTATGTGAAACAGCTTATAAAATGTTGTTTGCAGTGGTGACAGTTGTCTGGGACTTCTGTTTGGAGCAAGCTGTAAGATCAGGATGCACCCAGGAGTTCTACTTCGACCTCTTCAACTTACTTGCATCAGAATAGCTTCAAAACACTAGCTAATAATGTCAGAAAAGCAGATTTATTCATAATCAGCTGCAAATACATGATCTTCTGTGAGGAGATAGGTAATGGTGCTGACCTCTATATTATCCTTGAGCACCTGAGCTGGTAACTGGGATAAATATACCATATTAGGTATCTCTTTTTTCTCTGCTCTTAGGTTTAAAAGTAGAGAGGGATTATTTTTACTAAAGCTGTGACTCTGACTCAGTTTATAATTTGACTACTGATGAAATATTCAACTATTTCAGCAAACACAAACCTTCAGATACTCAACCAATGAATAAACTATCATACTTTCTTCTAGTAGTCCTTCGCTTTTCCCTGGTCTCTCTGGCTGCATTTTACCCTCCGAACCAGGCCGAAGGATGTGCTCGCAGTTAAACTTGAGTAGGCAAAATGATTTTGCTTGGTTTTGCAATAAAAAGGAAATTAAGAAAAAACATAGAGAAAAAGACATGGGATTTTTCTCCTTTTGTAGGTTGTAGAAGCCTCTAACATTTGAAGAGGGGAAATGGAGTGTAGCTGCTTGGAAGTTTCAACTTTTCCCTTTTTAATTTGTAACTCAATTCTTGAGACATACAGGACTGGAAGAGGCTTACGAGTTGTACATCTTTTTTTTCTTGTTACTGCAAACACCACTTCATTTCTGTTGTAAATAAAGCTTTTTGATTAGCTTCCCCTATTTTTGTTTGAGAACTGATTTGTATGATCAGGCCTGTGGTTGTACTGACTATCTTAAATGTTTCTGTGACCAAGTCTGTAATGCCTGAACTTTGTTAGCAGAGTGTGCCTGTAAGTGAATGATGAGTGCTTTGTGATGAAGATGTAATTTTACATAAAGGATGATTCTGTTTTTCTTATCATTCTGTATTTAAAATGTTTATCTAAAATATACTGAGAAGGTTGAAGGGGAGAAAAAACAGAAGATTTTTTTTTTCTCTCTCTTTTTTTTGTTGACTTTTGGATCTGATACATGGAACTTACTTATTGGGTTTATGGACTTTTTTCAGTCGACCTCTATCTTCTAAATGGTCTGCAGCCAGTCCAGCAAGTTTTGCAGGCAGAGGTAAGGTGGTAGCAATATGGCATAGTGTATAGTAATTGATCTTTATATTCTTTGAATTAAAAGTTCTAAATGCAGCTTAAAATTTTACTGTCTCAGCATTTACCCTGTTTCCAAGTTAAATAATGGTATGTGTTGCTACAAACTGTACCTGGGGCTAATATTGCCTCACACTCGCTTCGCATTTTATGTAGTTTCAGTTGTTGCAAGTATAAGACATAATTTGTTATTAATTGATCATCTCTCCTGGAGTTTTGTCATGGAACAGTCACTCTCAAAGAAACAAAGCATTATTCTTTGGTCTGTTCATGATTATTAGTCTTACATCAATTGGAAATAAAAGACTCATTGTCCCTTTCATCTGTTCCCGTGTAGCTGTTGCTCCTTATTAAAAAAAACAAACAAAAAAAAAAAACAAAACAAAACAAAAAACAAAACAAAAACAAAACAACAAAAAAAAAAAAAAACCAAACCACATATTTGTGATTCAAAGAATTTAATTTTGTCTTGAGTTTTCCTAATTTAATAACTTCAGTCTCTTTTCACTGTCTTAGTAACTCCTTGCGGAGTAAGTCATTGAGCTGCTTTTTACAAATGGCCTGTAATTGAGAGTGCTTGTTTTTTGGATACTGAAACTGTGAAGGGGAGTCAAGTTTTGAAGGCCTGAAACAATGGTTAAAATTAATTGAAGCGAGTAGTTAAAATTCAGTAAATAATAGTAGGAGAATACAAAAGTACAGAACATTAGACCCTAAAGCTTTTTAGAGTATGCAGTCAGCTTGCCTGGGGCTTTGTCTTAGCTGAAGTGTGGGAATATTTTCTTCAGTAACTCAGGGGATGCTGTGAATTTTCTTATGTTTGTGAAGCATTTACTAATGTAATAAATCACATAATCGTTCATTTGTACTATGGAGGGAACACACAATTGCATTAAATAATGCTAAAATTTCATGCAGAATGAAGATAAGTACTTACTGTAAAACAGACTGTCCTTTATATGCATTTCATGGCAACACCTGGTCTAGTTTGCTTTTTACTCTCTGTAATTACTTGGTTTCTTAACTTCACTTAAACATTTTAGATAGTTTTCTCTGCTTTCTGCAAGTATGTTGTGATAGTAGAATATGTTAGCCTTTTACACGTAATTTTTTTGGTTGGTTGGTTTTTTTGCTAGTTTCAGGCAGCAGCAAGGGTGTTCCAAGCCCTGGAACCCTGCAGAGGTCTCGCAGTGACATCGATGTCAACGCTGCCGCAGGCGCGAAGGCCCGGCACGCTGCTGGACAGACAGCTGGAGCCGGGCGCTTGTCAGCTGCTGGTCTACCTCCAGGATCCTACGCTTCGCTAGGTAAGGGGAACATCTGCACTCTGCTGGGAAATATTTTGTGAGGTTTTTGGTCAAAAAGTTACAGCACAAGACTTATATGTTTGAAAAATTGTTGTCATTTTTAGTAGTATTGGGAGTATGGCAAAAGAGATCATGTTCTGAAGTAAGTTACAGACTTTGCTAGATGTTTTATTTTTCTTTTTGTGGAACATTGCCAATGCAAAGAACGTGTTCATACTATGCTCTTTAAATGTCTTAATCTCGAATTAATACTAAGTACCTTTACTTAACAGCATATGATGATCATGATTTTTTTGTTTCTGAAAACAGTAGGGAAATGAGTGTCAGGGCTCTTGATTTTCCATTTTTCTCAGCTCTTTAGCTGACTGTTTTACAACAAGGCCAAAGAAACATCCTGGCAGGAAATGTTTTACAGAAGTGTTTTACGTGATAATATACAACATTGAGTTCATAGATTTCTTTCTGAGGATGTCGGTGGAACTATGTGTATATGTTTTATGTAGGTGACGGTCTCGATTGATAGGAATGCTTGCTGTTAAACATAGAAAGTGCTAGAAGTTATAAGAATGCAAACAAGAATTTGATAGTGTTGGTGGTGTGGATGATAGAATCTCCACTAAGTGGGGACAGTAAAGGAATATGGGCATATTTTTGTTCTTTTTAGGTTATCCGTGCTGTAGGGATGGTAATGGGGGGACGCAAGGTTCAATGTTCACGAAACTGTTGTTTTTCTTCTCAGCTTACGTGCCAGCTAGATCACCAGGGAGACATGTTCTAATGTCAGTATGGCCATAGGTGATCACAAAAGACAAAGAAACTGCGTAGTTCTTCTGATTTACCTTGTGTTTGGGGAGATGTTAGCACATATGTAGGCTATGGTTTTCAAAGGTTTTGGTTGTGCTTTCTAAAATGAAAATTTAATTTAAAGGCTATTTCAAATGAATTGATTCTTTTCATCAGGGCCTACTTGAAAGGGTTTGAACAGCACTGATTTTAGTGTTAATTTTGTGAGTGTGAGTGTTCCTGAGTTAAAGTAGTACTTTCCTCTTGGAATAGCGATTTTGGGTGTGGGCTCCCTCTGGTGCCCACAGAAGGGGCAGCAGAACATGCTGGGGTAGCAGGTGGATGCCAACGTTAGGCTGCTTGATGGAGGGGACACGCCTGTGGTTCCCTAGAGAAGTTTTGGGTTCCCCATCCCTGGCAGTGTTCAAGGCCAGGCTGGATGGGGCTTGGAGCAGACTGCTGTAGTGGAAGGTGTCCCTGCCCATGGCAGGGACCAAATGATCTCTAAGGTCCCTTCCGAACCAAACCATGGGAACTCTCAGTTCCTCCTAACATAATGCCTAAAAACCTGAAATATGTGGGGTGATTATTTTCCAATTATTGCCTGGTCTGTTTTGCTGTGCAACAGGACAGATTTTGAACCTCAGACAAAGCTGGAGTTCAGCTGCTGTGAGAAGTAAAAGCTGGCACAGAGCACAGTGGCAGAAGGGAAAAAAAAGTCAAATGGAAAACGAGAGAAATCTTGCTTTGTTAATCTGTCTTCTTCATGCTGCTGAAATGAAGGGACTACTTTGATCTTAAGAGTTTCACAGAAAATTAGCTCTTGATTAGACTATCAGTTTGCTTTAGAACATTTTAAGGAGTATGTGATTCATGCCCAGACTTATGTAAGCAAGGGTTGAGAAGGGCACAGGGATTTTCAGTGAAGTAAACAGTGGTGGTTCTATGCAGGAAAATATCAGAAATAAAGAAATGGCTTATTCTATGTAGTTTAGAGATTTGGTGAGTTAGGGTGGACAAGACGAATAATAAGCAATATTCTTGGGAAGGATTTGGGTTGCTGGAAAGCTTTACCTTGCTACCAAATGCAATTGCTTTTGGAGAACAGTGTAATGGTTGTTCGAAATGGCAAAATAACGCAATACTGGCAGTGTCTAGTAAAGTCAAATCCTAGAGCAGACGGTGTAGGGGCAGCAGTAGCCTAGGAGACCAAGGTTTGTTTGCAGTCACAGAAGCAGTACTGCTTCACTGATCTTGGCCGAGTCTCCTAACAGTTTTTGCATTGTGGTAAGGTAGTTTAAATGGCACATATCTGTCCACTCTTCCCCATGTAGAGAGTGTGACTGTTGTTTGTTTCGCTGTGGAGAGACCATGGAATCCACCTGAAAATATTGTTTATTCCTAGTTGTCAAAAGGTAACCTTAAAATGAATGGAATGTGAATCCCAGCAAGTGCCATGTTTCAGAAGATGGGCTAATTTGTAAACTTCTCACCTCTGTTCATTTTAAGTGGCTTGTTTGTACTAGCCCAAATATGTGAAGTTAAATGACAGAATTTTCAAGATAATGCTGACAAAAGGTCTGGAAAATGTTACTGTATTTCCATAATGCTTTCCACATCTCTCAGGTGTTGCAATTAGTACCAAAATAGATAACATTGTCTCCTAGAGTTTGAATTATTTTCACCCTTACTTGCAGAGAAACATCCACCTTTTGCTTAAACAGCTACCAAATTCAAAGCCTCAGTGGGCCACAAGTTTATGAGCATAGTAATCTATAATTATCTCCAACCACCTCTTCCCTTTTTATTATTAATAGAAGAACTCTTGCTTATGATTTTTTAAAAGACTATTCTGGAAGCAGGAGGACATTCTCTAGTTATTTTAAATGTTGGCTGTCTTGGACATCCTTAAGTATTAATGTCCTTGTTGAGGAGGAGGCTTGAACTGTAATTATATATGTCTCATGCTAAATATTTTAATTTTGATTGTTACTGTCAGAATATTTATGCATTACCTTCCAGCTGAACTGGTAAATATTTAATACTTTTAAACCAGAGTGAAACTTTCTCCCACTTGTCCTCTGTCTTAACTGTGGTATTTTTTTCCCTCCGGTCCTTGTCACAGGAGGGACATGCTTCATACTCAGTAGCAAATTTCATAAGAAATATAAATATTGTCAGTAATGATATAAATATGTTCTGATGCTTCAGTAACTGTTTACACCAAGCATGAAAGCATTTCTAAATGTTTTACTGTAAGGGTTTTCTCAAATCTGGGTAATATAGAGAGATTCAATATCCCTCTCCAAGGTGCTTTGTACCCTATTTTGTAATTTTGTACCTCGGACTGAGAGAAACCAACTTTACTTAAGTTAGCTTATACATGCATGAATCAGATAAACATGTCTGCTGTATTTAATATTAATGTATTTTCCTTAATTAATGTTTTATGACTCTACTGTGAACACCTTTATGCTAACACACTAAGTTTTCCATGTTTCTTTGCCTGCTTTTTCAACAAAGAGGATACTTCTGACAAGATGGATGGTAAGAAATTGTTTAGTCTGTCCTCTAATTCTCTTAAATATTTAATAAAGTGTCTTTTATGTAAAAGTATTGATGTTTAATATATTTGTCTGTTCATTAACAAATTACTATGCTGTTTTCATTAACCCCTATGTAATCTTGATGTCTCACTGTATGTGTTATTGCTGTATTTGTCAATGTTGTGAATGTTTGATCTGTACAGCAGCAGAAACTTTATCAGAAATTGGGCATTACTCATATTTTTTGAAAGAAGCTCAATTAACTACAGAGCAATTCTGTAATCAATACATGCTGCTTTTTAACTAGTCTAGTTCCAGCATGTTTCATAGTTCAACATGTAAAGTCAATTTTTTTTACTTGCCAGAACAGCACTGGGAGAGAAGATGCTTGACCACATAACTGAGGATTAAAAAAAATACTACTAAACTCTTCTCTGTAAAAATCTACTCTACCTATATAATTTTAAGTGCTTGTAAATCCTGTAATACAATGTAATTCAATTAAAGAATCATTTGGGAAGACCTACCTGTTAAAATAGGTTACCAAGTCTTCCACCTAAGTTTTAGTGCTTACTTTTTCTTATTTCACCCTATTATAAACACATGGAGGGACTGCAAAGCAGTTGAGAATCAGGCTTCTCATAGCAGTTTTCTGTTTCAGGTGTAAGCAAATAATGCTTCACATATAGTGCTTCACATATAATGCCTCACCAGCTTCTGAGCTGATGCTCAGAGTCCCAGCTGGATGCCCAAAGATTCTAGTTCTAATTTATTGCTTGGGGGCACTTAACAAGCACTTTAAAAGTTTGTGCAAACACTAGTTTGATGCTTACTTCGTAGTTCGTGTTTATTAACAGTATTAACACAGGTACATGTTTTGAAGAGTGAGTAGTTTACTGGAAGCAAAGCAGGTGATATTTTTCATAGAAATGAAAACAGTAAGAAGGTAGATCTGTAAAACCCAGAATTCTGAATAATTTTAAAGCACAGATGTTTTTTGAAAGAATTTGAGCCATTTTTGAGCACTGAAGATGGCAAGCCTACTTTAATAAAATGAGGAGGGGTTTACAGGGGAATAGTGTCTCTATCACTTAATTTTGCATCGTATTTCCTTATGTTGCATGTAATAGGATTTATTTATAACTGTTTGTGCTAAACACTTAATCTTGAGCTTTTGCGCGTTGTCACCGGCACCTTAGGACCAGGCGTGCAGGCTTTTTCTTTAGTAGCCACAGCTCATGATTTTGCACATGTATCTATTTAAAAGTAGTAGGGGAAATGCTACACAATTGATCAGAGTAACAGGGGTTTTTGTTTTCTAAAGGGTATCTGTAGATATGATGTGCAAGATGGAATGAACACAGCTTTGTTCTCCAACTGTTGGATATAGCTGTTCTGATCTAACCCGCCACCAGGAGGAACTAATCATTTTTCCTTTTCCTGCTAACCTTGTCCACATGTTTTTATTACTTCTTTCATTCGTGCCTTGTAATATTCCATTATCAGTCACTGTAGGTGAACAAACTCCATAAAACTGATTTCATAAAACTGTATAGTATTCTGTTATTTAGCTTTTGGAGCTACTAGTAAGCCTTTAGCCACCCTTCTGTGGTAGCACAAGGGTTATGAGGAAGGAGAAACAGAACCACCCCTTCTAGGAACAGCTATCTGTTAGCCTGGCTTAGGTGTTACATAAAATCTGCCTTTCAAGATCCAGCTCTTGGAAGAATGTTGGATTTGGAGGGGTAGTTCAGGGTTTGGGTGGTTGGCTGTGCGGTTTTTTGGCTTTTTTTTTTTTTTAACAAATCGGCAAATTTGATCTGGAAAACTTTGAGGCACTGCTACATACGTATTACTGTAACTGATTTCTGTGAAGAAGCACCAAAATTTACACTGAACTGATTTTTTAGAGGGATTTTTTAAAAAATACTGCCTTGAAGATACTGTAACTTGAGAAAGCCCTAGCCAGATTTGCTGAGAAAGTTAAGTTTAGGCTAGCCAAAGACACTAACAGCTGTTTTCATCATTGTATTTTCTTGCAAGGCAGAAACAGCAGAGTGTGAAAACAAAAACTGAAGTACTCTTTGATTTTTTGCAGGGCATTTAATATTTTTATGTATATTTTATTCCATAATGAGATTTGTTTCAAAGTAACTTAGAGAGGGAAGGCCTGCCAATTAGGCAGCTTGCCATCAATTCCTAGGTACTGATGTCAGGAAGAAGACCTGTCTGACCCTCCTTTTGTCAAAATCAAGCCTTGTTAAGCTTGGCATACTTGTTCAAGTGTTTTCTGGTTTCAGCAAGCTTATATTCCTTTCAATTCTCTGAGCAAAACTTGATTTTGTGCATGTAGATCTTCCAAATAATCATGGGCTTAATTCAGAAAAATCCTCCTGGCTGGCAGTTCCTATCAAGTTATCACTGTCCAGTGTGGGAAACACTGTCTTTGTGTTTTTCTCTGAGGCTATGTATAATGGTATGTTTTATATTTTCAGAAGAGCTTGCACTCTGTATTTTTATTGTCTGTTTTGATCTGTTGTGTCATTTTTTTGACTTATCTCATAAATGTAATTTTTTTCTATTGATTGTTTTTATGTGTGTTTTTGTAACAAGTTTGGAAGGCAGTACTGTGCATAGTGTTCTTGTAAATCCCTGACAGCGTAGTATGGATATTTCTTGATAATTTTGCTTCCGTTCAATTATGGAGTTGCAATGCAAAAGCTTTAATTATCTTGACTTGATTAAAATTTGTCAAGATTCCTAAGATTAATCTCAAAAAGGAATTTGAGAGACACAGTATTGTTTGGAATATCATGTATTTTATTATTTTTCCTGTTTAGGAACAGCTTCTGAAGATGGTAAGAAAATATTTTGTTAGACTAGCTAATATTTTCAGCTTCATATTTTCATTGATACAAATTAAGCTTTGAAAGTAGAATATGGTCTTTCTGGGGCTTTGTGGAGGTTCATAACAGACAGCTTATGCATCTAATACTTGGTTGTCATGTAGTATTTTTAAAATTCTTTTGCTTTTATTTTATTTCTCAAGTAATTTTCATCTGCAGTCTAAGTCTCATTGCTTAACATTTCTGGTGTCAAAATGTAGGGGCTTTATAATTTTGCATTTGTTTTTTTAAAGCAAATCTCGTCTCAGACTATTTCATCAAATGTGTTCATGCTCTGGGAAGCAGGTGCTACTATTCTTCATCTCTTCGAGACTTGGGAGCTAATTTTCAGTATGCTATTAACATTTAAACCTGTCATTAGTGAATGGAATGTAGAGACTCCAAATGAGTTAACAGTTCATTTGCCTCACAGACACAAACTGGTTTATTTTACATTGATAAAATTGAACCAGGTTCCAAGTGATAATTTAACATACTATTGAAATAGTGGCACTCTGTATTCCTACGTTTTTGGGCCAAGTTCTCAATGCAGTTACATGCCTTGCAGCCTCACAGCACTCAGTGGGAAAACATTGCCATTGCACGGGGATAACTAGTAGAGTTTGGACTAGTCAATTTAACCATTTTTGCTGGCGTATTGTTTTCTAATAGCTTAGTGAATAACCTCCTTTATCCTGATTCTCTTCTTATAGACTCTCATCTATGGCTATTCCCTCTACTTGGATGAATAATATTAACTTGGTTGGTCTCCAAATTCTGCTGTGGCAAACCTAAAGAGGCTAGAAATAAATAATAGACTGTACTTAATTTTTCTGTCCAATATTGACTCTGCAGGTCTAGAAAATATTTTAATTATGCTGGGTTTAAAAGTGGACTACTTGTTGAGCTAGATCCACCCCGTACAGACTTTTGGGATTTTGTTCTTGCAACTTAGGAGAATTACGGTTAGCGTGGGTTTGGTTTTGATTTCATTTTTCTGTTGTTTGAGAGGTTGGCTTAGGAAACGTTTTCTCCACTGTTTTCTTCTGTGAATGATCTTTCAGTTACCTATAATTCATCCAACTGGGGTCTTCCTTCTTTTGTAATTCCATTGTATATGCTGAATGATTTGAGGAACATGACTAACAATGCAGAAAGGTTTAACCCAAACCCAAGAGGGTCTGGCATTTGAGAGAGAAGTGAATCTAACCTGTGTCTTCCTTGGTTCTTTTATCTGCTTAGGACAGTAGTATTTCTTTATATCATGTTGTTGCTGAGAAGTACTGAAGTGTACTTAGACTTTACAAAATGCTGTAAAAGGTTTGATAAATCCTTTAGGACTCTATATGACCACGGCCAGGAAAACAGTAGAATCTTCAGTAATAGAAATATTCAGATTCTAAAAAGAGGAGCGAAGTTAGGAAGAAAACTCAGAATTCAATTCGAAAAGGGTCAACATAATTTCTGTAGTTTTACGACAGCAAAAGTAGAATTACAACCACAAGTAATCATGAGAAGACTGTACCTGATAGAGCCACATTAGCATTTGCATTGCCTGTAGTATTTAAATAACTTCCCTTTTTTTAACGTAATCAACCTATTTATGTAGGAAGAAAGAACTACCTAGCTAGATCAGAGTGGTAAAGGGATAATGTTTACTGAAACATGTAGCATGAGAGGAGAAGTATTAACTATTAAATCCTTCAAGGTGTTCAGATTTCTACTAATTATCCCAAGTGAATTTTCACCAGTTGAGTTACATTGCGCTTATTTTATCTGAAGAAACCTAATAAAATATTAGTATATGCTGCTGTTGCTTTGCTTCCTACATGACTGTGACAAACTGATTTGATGCCATTTTTCCTTTATAGGTCGTGTACGAACAAAGCTTTCAACCCCTTCTGTTGGTATTGGAAATTCTAAAACAGATTCCAGAGGACGGAGTAGAACCAAAGTGGTGTCACAATCTCAGCGTATGTATTTTCTATTTGTCAGCTATACCTGATAAAGAGGCCAAATACTTAAACATATGTTCATTGACCAATGGCTACAGTCAAAGTTAATTTTAAAAAGAAAAGCTACATACTGAGTTGTTGTTCTGTGCCTTAGGTTCATCATCGCCAGACCAAAATGAAGGTATTTTTTTCAGTGTTTTGGGTCAGTGGTATTTGCATGCTTTCCTAATTCATGTTGTTTTTCTCTGGACATAATACTAGGTTGGGTCTTAGTTTGCCAATTAAATTAGATAATGTAACAGGAAGTGAAATCTACCCTTAAATTCTGTCTTCAATTATAACTTCTCAACATTCTTTTCCCCCCCTCTTCTGACCTCCCCAACACAAAAGACCAGTAAACTTAGACATGACACATGGACAAGTAATGTAGCAGAATATATAGGCTGAATGGTATCCTCAACATTACCTGCAAAACCTAATTTTTCATTTTTAAATAAGTCTACATTTTTTCCAGAAATACCATTTTCACTTGAAGCTAGGCACTTGCCCTAGCTTTTTTTTTTTTACCACAGCTATTACCTTTACTTCAGAATACTAAACCTTCACTTTACAATCAGTTACTTCGCTTATGTTGAGTCAAAGGGTTAAAACAACCGATTTAATGTGTGTCAGCTAATCCACAGTAATTTTCTATGTGTGTTTAGTAACCAAAGCAGATGCGACATTTCACATCTAGCCAAGCGCTCTGTCAGTAATTAAAAAGACCTGATTACCTCACATTCTTTGGCACTGGCTGACCTACAGCAATTTGTCCACAGATCTGATGTCTCCAACAGACATTTTCTGACTACGCTTGTAGCATTTTCAGATTCCTACCTTTGTATAATTAAGTGAAATGCTATGAAATTAATAAAAGAAAGACAAGTTAACAATAAAATTAAAATAAACTACCCAGTCCTGTAATTTGTCAAGTTCTAAACCCAGTAAATTGTACCGGATTGGAAATTTCCAATACAATTATTTTGCTATCACTAACCGTATCCATTTTGTTTTAATAAAACACCTTAATAATGTGTTTAATGGCAGAAACATTTGTCTTCGTAGCAATGACTACATTCATCATAATTAGAATGATTTTAGAAGTTAAAATGCAGATAGAAGAGTTTGGGATTTTTTGGGGTTTTTTTCCTGTTAGAGTACTTGCCATTTAGTTTTGCATTACTTTATTTTCCAACAAGTACAGTTGGATCAAACCTGATTGAGGGCTTGCAGGTTTTGTGAAATAAAGCTTTAAAACACTGTGAACAGATAATTATAACATAATAAAATCCAATAAGAGCAGTTCCCTTAAGAGTTTTGACAGTGCTCTAATCCCACAAGTGTATGTGAGATGAGAGCTTAAAAATAAGTCTAGTTATTGGCTGTAACAAAAGTTGTGCAAAACTTGTTTTACATATTCAGTGTTAAGATACCTACACTATATCATAAGCAAAGAACAAGTGAATTAATAATTTAAAAGGGAGGGAAGGTAGCAGTTCCGTCAAATCACTTTTTCCCCCACTATAAAAAGCTATAAACAGTGTCTGTAACACTTTTTTTTTCATTAGTGGTAGGAAAGTTGTGAATTAACACTTTTTGAAAATACCTTCTTAATTTGAATAGCTTTGGTATATTCTTAAAAAGTGAACATGTTTGATAAATGTCTGGGGGAGGGGTTAAATTTAGGTAGCAGGATAAGACTTTAGTGATGATCATTGTCATATAATATTAACTAAACTGTATATTCAGAGAAACAAATTGAAGCCTATTCAGCTTTTTTACTAATAATGACAGAGGTTTTTTTCCAAGAGAATTCATTTTTGCGCAGTATTAATATCTAAAGAGTTAAGTTAAATTGATATTGAGATAAGTAGATCTGACTACGTGTGATGATGTATGAAAATTAAATGCATGAATGCATCTTTACAGCCTTTTATTACTACTTCTGTTCAGAACCGATTGCCTCAAGTAGCTCACTATAACCTGTCAGTGGGGGAGAACAAGAATTCTGAGATGTTTTAAGGAAGATAAACAGGGCAAATACAAATGGACAGGCGAAGGAGAATTCTCAGGCACTGTATGCCAGCTATTTGGGTGATGCTTCTTTATGTGACTGAAAATTTTCACAGCATTGTGTGAAGAGTGATGCTTGATGTTTCCATACAGGGGATTGTTTTAGTTCCCCAGCTTATGTAATGAGAGAATAGCTTCATATTAGATTTAAGCTTTTATTTTTTAAAAATCACTGTAGCACAGATGCTTTTGTTAATTTTTGGGTTACAGCTATCTTTTGTTCAAAGATCATTTTATGAAAGACTTGCAAATTTGAATGATTTTTAAAAAATACCTTTATAGGCTTTCAAAAGCCCTTTACTCTTCCTCTTCTATTTTTAAATTATCATAACGTAAATGTCTCATTATTTTATTCTTATCTATGGAAAAAAATGGTTACATTTTTTTCCTCTCCTTTCCTGTTTGGTTGCCAGGTAATTCAGTACGGTGTTCTAAAATTGCATTACAGTCTTCATTCAGAGAATTTCTGAACGGAAACAAATTCTTACTTTTATACTCCAGATGAATTTTAAAGAGGAAACCCTAAAATTCTATGCAAGTCTTTTCAGTTGTGCCATTGTGAGTTTGTTTTTTTTTTTTTGATCATCCACCGCACTTGCAGCTCAGTTCCTTTACTGTTGTGTCTCAAAAAAAAAAAAAAAGTTTTGATCTTGTGTGTAAATTCTGTTCAGCTGTTGAACTTCTTGAGCCTTTTTGGCAATGCAATATTCTTTTAAAGTAATATGCAGGCTACAGTTTCATGTTTAATTGAAATTTAATTCTTCAGTGTTACCGAATTGTTGATTAGAAAGCTGAAGAATTGTAATTTGCTTGTGCAGCTTTGCTTCATCTGCTTTGTACATAGCATCTAAGTTTAATTCTTCAATTGTGGAAGCTACTTAAAAGCACTGCTTTAGCATAACCCCCTTGCAGCTTTTTTTCCTGTGTGAAATGACTAAAGCTTTCTTATTTCCATTTGCCATCCATTTTTTAATCTGCTCTGCTCCCTCCCTCTTCATGGATTATAAATCCCTACCCTAATCCTGCCTTTACACTTGTTCAGGATCACAGTCTGCTAACCCCATTGGTGGTAAGAGTCTACAGAATTTGTGTATACATCATTGTTTGATCACCTGTTTGACATATCTCATTTAAGGACCCTATTCAGCAGAAATTCTGGCTCGCTTTTTTCCTTGTGCTGCACATGACTAATTGGATGTAATCCTTACGTAGAAAACAGTAGAGGTGGGAGGGGTTTGTCATTTTGGAATACTGCCTTAGTAATCTTTCTTTCATCATTCAGTTGACTTAGATGTACTACTGGTAGTAGTGCTGACAAGAGTATACCAGTGCTGTTACTAGCATAATGTTTTCAGGATATTAAGCTTCATTTGGTTTATTTACGCTACCAGTGGTACACTTTGCAGTTCTGGCTGTAGAAAGATAAAGTATTAGAATGAGAGGTTGCATTTCTTCTGTATATTCTGAGAAGAGTTTAAGTTTTTCAGGTTTCTGACCTATTGAAGAAAATCTCCTACAACTCTCTGGCACACTGAGAACTTTTACAATGTTTTTATTGTTTTAGAGATAGAAAACAGGAAGAAGGCATAGTAATATCAGGTGTAAGTTGAAGTACCCTGATATTAAGAAACTTCCAAACCCTTAATTTTTGCAGCAATTTTATAGCTTTGCTTATTCTTTTGTTGCTGTAGAAGTTGTGCTTGTTTTTTCCAGGCTGTGTAATATTTTATTTATCATTTCTGCTGAATAGGTCCATAGTTTGGAAAAGGGATTTTAGTAAATAATCATTTCAAGTTTGAATTCAAACAATGAATCTGAAAGTATATGCATGGTACATTGTTTTAGATTTCTCCCTTCCACCCAGCATATATTTTATTTTGTTTGGGATTTGTTTCTTTTCCCATATAGTCAAGCTTTAGTCAACTTGTATCTTTTTTTAAATATGCCTCATAAGAAGTAACCCATGAAACTCACTTGAGATGTTGCATGTTAACTCTGTTAATCTGATAGCATCGCTGTGGTCATACAGTTACCTGATTATTTTTTAAAGATTAAGGAAGGGTTCAAATCAGTATGTAATTAATCTTTGGTTGAAATTCTGTTTTGCCTTTTATTTGGTCAGATTTCTTGAATTCTACAGCTGGAAATTGTATATTTATATCAGCTGGTGGCATGAATCCGTTATAGCTAGAGAAGAATGAATTCTTTGTTATGACTTAGAACTTTAATGTTCTGTAACTGAAATATCAAAATTAGGGATCAGTGACCCCAGTTTCTGGTAGCCATGGACAGTATCATGGACATTTATAGCACTTTGTAATGTACAGTTTTGATTAACAGAAATATAAAACACTTAAATATGTCTTGACCAATCTTTTAGCTTGTTTAAAACTAATTGAAGATTTTCTCTAATTTGTGAGGTAACCGCCACAGTAATGAATGTAAGTGTTCGAATCGCCTTCAGTGACGTTTTATTTAACTTCAGTGAATTGTGCTTGAAGACCCCATGCTATTAAAAGCAAGGGAGAAGAGTTTAAATGTTAGGAAAATAATGTTGTTTTGTTATAACATTGGTTACACTGGAAGAACTGGGATAGCGATGAAATAGCTTAGTTTAAAATTGCTCCCTTTAGCTTTCTGAGAGGTTAATTTTTTCTTTTTTTAGTAGAAAATGTGACTAGTGAGACCACATAACTTAAAAAAATAGGAACACAGCAGTGTTTGTGTTAGGGACAGTGGAACTCTTGATGAAGTCCAGAAATATTATTTATGGTTTCTTGAGGTTATCTAGTGCTAAATACCATGTCAAGTACTTCCTTGCATTGATAATTTTAACAACCTTGTATGTAGCACTGGAAGAACTTGGACCAAGGCATTCTATTTCATATTTTTACCTTGTAAATTTTTCCTGATCATTTCAATGTACCACCACTTTCCTACTAACTTTAAGCATTATTTTCTTTTTAACCGTGATTGTTTATCTTTTACGCTGTTACTTATATTTATTCATTTTATCTTCAGCTGGCAGTAGATCTGGGTCTCCTGGAAGAGTTTTGACAACAACCACACTTTCCACTATGAACACAGGAGTTCAGAGAGTGTTGGTGAATCCTGCAGCTGCACAAAAGCGAAGCAAAATCCCACGAAGTCAGGGATGCAGTAGGGAAGCTAGTCCTTCTAGGTTGTCAGTAGGTAAGAATCACCAAATAACTCTTGGTTTCTTTGTAGCTAAGTGCTGGGAGGGATATCTACAGCTTGTATAGTTATAGGTGGATGAAAAAAATAGAATATGTACTGATATATACTGATAATCTAAAATGTGGCCGTTCTCTGAGGCTAGTCTTTGATATACAAGACAGTTTTAAATTGAAGCTGAAACTTTAATTTTTTGCTGTCAGAATGCAGTAGTTCCTTACCTCACCTCCCTTTTCTAAACCTTCTTTCACTTTTTTCACCACCCCCAAAATACCCACATCCATTGAATTAAAGTGTGATACCATTTTGAAAATATTTTCTTCATTACTGTGTGTGTCTTTCACATATGTGTGCGTGCATGTGTATACTGCTGTGATACTAAAATGAATGTTATATGTCTTAAATCTCACAGTATAATCTGATTACACTTTATGGCAAACAATATTATTGAAAAATATCAGTTGTTTTTAATGGTATTGCTGCTGTTCTTTATTTTGTACTTTTGATTTTTATGTTAGTTGCATTAATTTTTTATTTTCCCCCTTTTAGAAAGCTTTGAGTTTCTTTGTTCGCGTTACTGTTGATTAACTTGTTCTTGAGCCCAAATTCTGAATCAATACTCAAATGTTGTTTGTTTTCTCTCCATCCTTTCCAAAAGGTCTTTCAACCATTGTGTAAAGAGTTGGTAAATTCCCATTTTATGCTGTGCAAAGAAATAATTTCATTGAAGTGGCTACACTTAGAGTAATCCAACACAATCAGGAAAGTGTGTAGGAAAGGTTATGACTTATAAAACGCCACAATCGTCAATGTCATTTCTTAGAAATTCATCTGTGATCTTACTGCGAAACAGAATTGCATTAAAACTGCAACTTTTCTTATGTCTTCTCCCTTCTGTGCTTCTGTTTGTCTGTACCCTGAATCATACTAGCGCGAGGCAGCCGCATTCCTCGGCCTAGTGTGAGTCAGGGGTGCAGTCGGGAGGCCAGCCGTGAAAGTAGCAGGGACACAAGCCCTGTCCGCTCTTTCCCACCCCTTGGTAAGTACTCGGAGCCCCTCGTCGTGCATGGCTGTCCTTGCCCTTCATTATGTGCTCCTAACGAATCCATGCCTCCTTCATTTAGCTTGTAGCTGGCCACCGTGTTTTCCCTTCCTTTGGCTCTCTTCCCCACTTACCTCAATGGAGAATTGACCAATGTGTGAATGGGTTGCACACTTGAAAAATAAAGCTTTGCTAGTGTTAGTCTTAAGTACCAAGTTTAGAAAGGTATGTGATAGGCAGCATCTAGATGCCTTTTCTGAAAAGGCACTTTTGCTTTTGAAAAGCTGTTTTGAAACTACGTTTCTCTTTTTGTTAGAACACTTATTGCTTGGGTGCAGTTAGGTAATCCATTTCTCACTGAGCTGCCAGAGCAAAGAACATGATGTGGCTATCATCCTCTGCCTTGGCCTGCTTCAGCAGCTGGGATCAACTGTTATTCAGAATTGCTCCCTAGTCAGTGAATCGTTTTAGCGTACAAGAAATACAGTTCATTATGTCTCCTTAGCTATATTGTCATGACTGTATTATGTGAAAAAAAAAAAGTAAAATTTTAACTTGTTACCGTGCAAGTAAATATGGTGGTGCAGATAAGGGACTGATCTACTGAGACAGAACTGTATTCTGAGGCTGCATTCCATTTTCTAAAAATGAACAGGACAAGTAGCAAAGTCCTTTACAAGTAGATCAACAAAGTACAGTTCTGAAATTTCCGTTTAGTCTGTATAGAACAAGTGATAATTGAAGTAGCAGCTGTTGTTATATAAAGAAGAGGAATTAAAAACAGTTAATGTTCACACTGCTTAGTTACATTCAGTTTCTACAGCTGCTATAAGCAAAAGTTTTGTTTTCGCTTAGTATTTCAGCTGATTGGTCTGACACTTAAAAGATTTTAGGAGATTGTCAAGTTGTTTCTGTCATGTCACTGAGATTTAAGAATATTAGCTTATAATTACTTTAACATGTTGGTTAAGGATTAGGGAAGTTTCTCATCTCCCATGTAACTTTGTCAAGGTTACTATGAAGTTGGCAATAAATTTTGATTCAAGTATTTTTACGTATGGGGCTTATGGATTGGGGTTTTTTTGATTGTTTGGTAATACCAAACTATCTCCTGTACAGTTGTATGTGAAACTGATTTTTTTGGTGTTACCTTTGTCTGAAATAGTCTTCAGTATATTTCTTTCTTATTTTGTTTGGTCAAGTGTAGCTTACAGTTAAGGACTTTATAATACTAGCTGTTAAACACAGTCTGAAAATAGTAAATCCTTGATTTGTATCTCAATTTGAGGCACCCAACTGTGCTCCTAATTAGCACTGGATGTCTGTTGTGGTCTGTTAGGACAGTATGCTTCCTGTCAGCCATGGTTTTATTGGGAGAGTACAGATTAATTGAATGAAAACTGTTTCAATAACTAATGCTAGTTTGCCCAGATACTGTTTAATTGAGAAATTATACTAAAAGTAGATGTTATGCAGAATCCATTAGTAAGTTTGCATCTTTTACTAAAACACAGCTGGAAGACTATGTTGTGGTATACCATACCTTCTGTTAGTTTCGAAACAAAGGTATTTTGCAGATGTTTTTGTGCTTCTTTAGCTGCCTTACACCTTGATTTCAATTGCTTGCATGCAAGATCAGATTTACATTTTATAATTGGTCAAATGCTTGCTATCTTAAGAAATCTGTATTACACCAATGCCATGAAGTGTGTGGCTGGGATAGATGCCACTTGAGGTTTTATTTTTATTAATATAGTTCAGTTTTATAATACAGATGTCAAAACAAGTACCTATACAAATAAAATAGGTGGAATTGTCTGATAGCACAGAGAATGCAAAGTAACATTTATAGGAATCCAGCATTGTTTTAAAAAAAACCCCAACAGTTATACTTGGAAGAAATGAGGATTCTTCCTAGTGTGACTTCTTATTTGAATAATTTCAAATGTCATTCAGTGTTTTGTTGGACCAGTTTTATCTTATGGGATGCTGTTAATGTCTATCAAAAATACTAAATTTAATGTTTTTCAAGGGTGCAAGTGAAAGATGAAATAAGGCAAATTCAGTTCTGTGTAGCTAGAGACAGTTTGACACAGGATTGCACGGGGAAATGTAATTTATATTGCCTCATTCTCAGCACAGAAATTTTTGCTTACAGAAATTTATGCCCCTTCAGGGCATAAAATGACCCAAATGCCACATAATTACTTTGCTGTATACATTGATATGAAGTGTTTATGTAATCTCACATCTCATTACAGCGTTATAAGCTGGGAGATAAGAGCCACTGAGAAGTGATTTGTAATTTATATAGAAGTGTCTATTTTCATTACATATAGTTAATACTAAATATCAGACTAGTGTCATTTCTGTATTTTAGCTAAAAAATTATCTTATTGTGAGTCCATTTAAAAATCTTAATTCATCTTTTAAAAAAATGGAACAGCAAAAGTAAATTCTTGCGCAGTTTCTGCAATTTGAGTGTTACAAAGAATAATGTGCTTTGGAATGAGGTATGTTTCACCCAATATAGTTCTTCCCTTAACTGTCTTAACTTGTCCAGCATATTTCAAACTTATGTGGGGACAGGATCATTTCAATTTGCATGCCTGAAGTTCAAATTTTCAACTGTACCTTTAATTTTCAGGGCTCATTAATGGAAAGTAATAGAAAGGTTTATCCCGTTTATGTTTGTATTTAAAGAGCTGTTAGCTGTGATGCCTGTGTTTTGATATCCTCTGTCCTGTCTCCTTTTCCATGCTGAGAGATAGTTTCTAAAGAACTAAATATTCCACAAAGCATTACTTGGAAAATAAAATGCTGTAGGTAAACATCTTCATGCAGGATTGGTTAATAATAAAATACATCGCTGTACTTTATGTAAGGAGTAGAGAACTTTATGTGGAAGGACACAGTGTTGTTTCTTGGGATCTTTACAGGAGTTAGGCTCATTTTGGAGTACATTTAGTTTAAAAGAGGTATGCTTCCCCAGATGTCATTTGGTCCATGTCAGGGTTGCTTGATTCGAGTCAGACTCTTAAATGTTCTTTGTTAATCAGAGTAAAGGATGATTAATTTGATTCCTGATTTGTACTTATGCTACTTTATGTATCCAAAAGGTTTAAAATATTTGCATTTACAGTTATTTACTAAATCATAGGATTATATCTGGGGTTTGTGCCACTGTGGGTGGACATTTGAATTCAAGTTAAAATTATCATGTTATGTGGCATTAAAAATTCCAAATTAAGTGAACTGAAGAAAGAAGATTAATTGTTTAAAAACATTTAATTTAAAAATTGCGCAGTTTAAGGAAGAAAATACTAGCAATGGTGAGTCAACTTCTTCAGAATCACTAAAAAACCAGTTTTATACAGGTGCCATAAGGAGAGGGGTACTCAGTTTTATTCAAAAACCCTTAAAGATCTCTGGTTTCCAGTTTCAGTAACTTTAAAAAATCTTAATGAGCTATAGTAACTAACACAAGTGCTTAAATTTGACATTTTATTTAAATAAAACAATAAGCGTGGGGATTATTAATTGTGTTGACTTATTTTTAACTTATAATCATAGTTGGACAATTTTAACTTTCTTTTACACAGTGGTGAGTTTTAACCACGCTTGAGTTATCTCCACATAGGCAAGAACTCAATTGTGTACGGATTGTCAGCTGCTGACACAGCGGGTTCGTGCGGTAGTCACTTTTTGCAGATAATGTTTGATACATGAGGTCTTGCTCTGACTTGAGCCCTTAGGATTGAGTTAACTCTACAGTGGAAAACCAGCATCGGTGTCAGTATGCACTGATAATCATCAAAAATACCTGAAAAGTTCTGTTTGAGTGTGGGTGTCTGCATGTGTGTCTGTGCACCTTTTCTTCTTTGAATTTAAGCGTACTTGCTTTTACCCTGCTCTTAATCTTTTAAATTAAACAAAAAATTATGCATGAAATGTCCAGTGTACATAAACCTATATAATCATGTTATGTATAATCAAAGAACTTCTCTGAAGATTTTTTGCTGCTGTGTAATACTCAGTTTCTGGTGCTTAAGCTGAATCTTTTAAATATTCTCTTGTTCATCTGAGCAACTATTGCAGCACTTTGATTCCATGGTCATAGATAGGCTTTATATAATCCTGTTATTGCAGCTTCCAGACATCACTCCAGATCTACTGGTGCCCTCTACGCTCCTGATGCTTATGGGGCCACAGGTGAAGGATGAGTACACTTTGCTGTCATCTGTGCAGTCATCCTGGATTATTTTTTCCCCACCCACTTGGTTATTCTCATAGTTCAGTTTTAGAAGGCATTATTTATATTAATTTGAGTTTTGTGGTTTTAATAACCCAGATAGATGTGTTTATGTTGCTAGATTTCGTCTCCACCCTCACGTTCCAATGTTAACCCTTTTTTTCTTTAATAATAATCATTTTATTTTTACTTGCAGAAGAACTTTTTTTAGTTTTCCATATTTTTTTTAGTATTTGTAGAGCATTCTTTATGCATGTAGTTTTCTAATCAGCAGTCTCAATAGCCCTTCTACTGTATTTGCTTTCTTTTTAAATGAAAACAAAAACCCAAAATGAAGAAGACATTGATTAAAAAAAATTAAAAAGCAAAGGTTCTTCCAGTTAAAACCATTGTTTTGTAGGGTTTTTTTCCGATGTAATATTGGAATACAATATTTGTGGATGACTGGTTTTTTTGCTTAATCTCTTACTTTTCACTGTACCACTAAGACTTCAGAATGAAAATAACCAGTGCTTTAGCCACTACATGATTTACTGAAAATATTAAGCAAATGTTTTTCTTCTGCTTGGGTTTTTTTTGTGTATGATATTAGTGTCCCAAGATGCTATTCTGACTGAATTTTTTATATTTATTTGTGTTGTTGTAACAGGTACTGGCTTCGGAATTAGTCAGTCGAGTAGATTGTCGTCATCAGTTAGTGCTATGCGAGTTCTGAACACAGGTTCTGACGTGGAAGAGGCAGTAGCAGATGCTTTGGTAAGAATCTCACACTTACTTTTTGTAGGTTGCAGGCTCTTAAAATGTTTGGTACCTGTACATTAAAGTATGCAAAAGAACTTGTCATTTGTTATTTTATTGGCTTCTTGGTGAGGGGAAAAAAGAGAAACTGAGTTGCTGGAGGTGCAAGTATTTGAATTTTCATTCCCTACAGAGGTTTTAATTTTTGAGTAATGTGCTTTTTTCTGTGGCAGACAGGAAATAGTCTTGGACTACTCTATTGGAGTGGCCCGAGGAGCCACTTGCGCGGGTAGCACTAACCAGCAGTTTCCTATAACAGCTAGTCAAACTTCTAGATAGGCTGAAGGCTTGCTAGAGTTGGGAATGATGACAGCAGAAGCCTTCTGCTTACCGTAATCCTGGGTGCCATTTAAACTTTTTCTGTCTGACAACATACGAGATTGATGCTGAAGAGAGAAAAACTGATGGCTGGGCAGGTGATGTGGTTTCATGCCAGCCAGCAATCAAGCCCCACACACCACTCGCTCACTCCACCACCAGCAGGATTGGGGAGAGAATCAGAATGGTAAAAGCTTGAAAACTTGTGGATTGAGATAAAGACAGTTTAACAGGGAAAGCAAAAGGCACACACACAACCAAAGCAAAATAAGGAATTCATTCACCGCTTCCCACGAGCAGGCAGGTGTTCAGCCATCTCCAGGAGAGCAGAGGCCCATCACACATAACAGTTACTTGGGAGACAAACACCATCACTGCAAACGTGCCCTCCCTTCCTCCTTCTTCCCCCCATTTTATATATTGAGCAGGATGTTATATGGTCTGGAATATCCCTTTGGTCATTTTGGGTCACCTGTCCTGGCTGTGTCTCCTCCAACCTCCCTTGCCAGCATGTCAGTACGAAAAGCAGAAAAGGCCTTGTCTCTGTGTAAGCCCTGCTCAGCAATAACAAAAACATCTCTGCGTTATTAACCCTGTGTTCAGCACAAATCCAAAACGCAGCCACATACCAGCCCCTGTGAAGAAAATTAACTCTACCACAGCCAAAACCAGCACAGAAGACGGCATTTCATAAGATTAATTTTTGTTTACTTTTGTTTTCTAAATGTTACACTGAAGTTAAAACTGGTTATGCCATTCATTTTCTTACCTTTACTGTTCTTTAAAACGGCAGGTTTGGCTACTCTACCTCCCTGCCCCAGTTAGCCAAACTGAACACATAATTTATTTTGCTATTGTGACATTCATGTCATTAAATACTTGTAAGTGCCTGTTTTCTAGTTATCAGAATGCTTTAAGAACATTGTAATTGCTCTGTTCTAAGAAAAAATTATTTGGAATGTTAGTAAAAAACTACAAATCAGACTCTAAAAAGATAATTATAGCCAGACGTAACTCAATAGAGGAAAACAAAATTTCAGAGGAAAAGGTCTGAAGAATCGTATTCTTAGTATGAGGATTTATTGATTTCTTGGTTTATGATTTTTTCTTGACACCTAAGTTTAAAATTTGTGTGCCTTCTCTGGTATAGAGATCAGGAGGATATCTCTGAAATCTTGCCTAAGAGGCCACAGTGTGGTTTTTTTCCCTTTATGATATTATCAACTTGCAAAACGTTTTCAGCATTGATGGGGAATGCTGGTTAGTAAACTGGTAATCAGTCTGGATGTTGGAATACGGAACAATCGAAAAACAGGAAACAATAGAAAAACAGTCCATGGAATATTAACATTTTCTGGCTATAATTTGAAAACTTGTGCTGTAGATTTCTACACATTGGTGCTTCACGAAGAGTGTCTTTAGTACTTTTAGCAGCCTTCTAGCTTACTCAAATTTAACTGGGCAAAGTACGTAGTAAGAAGAGAAGCTGAGGAGAAAGTCATGTTTCCAATGACTACCCTTGAGGCTTGAATGTGTCCTGCTTCATTGAAGCAATAAAGTTTCTTCGAAGAAACTGCTTTGTATTACCTGGATCCAAAATAAATGATGCCTCTAGAAATGTTAGAGGAAAATTAGCTTGTATATTTTAGCTGGAATCTGACATGACAAGGATAAAGAACTGCAACATTTTATTGTAGCATTTGCATGCCTGGTTCCTTGCCACGCTCTAAATGTCCTGTAGAAATATTGTCCTGTAGAAATGGCTCCACTTAGATGGAAATCTGTTTATAAACACTCTTGTTTTATCATAGACTGAAGACTCACCCTCATAACAGTGTTTTTAAAAGGTAGAATGTAGAGTCCTGACAGATGTAATATAAAAATAAAAAATACTCCAGATTGTATTGCCATTTTTGATATGGAAAATACTCAACTAGTTTTAGTACTTCTTAAGCCAAAGGGATGTCAGTCTTCTGGCATGAAATGCAGCAATAATGGTGATCTTTACATATTTTTATGTCTTTTACTTTAGTACAGTCCTTGGCATTTCAGATTCATTTCTTTAAAAACCATTTTTTTTCCTTACGGTGTCTCTTTTCAAAAATGTGTGTCTTTGTGATTTTTCCCTTCCTTTATTCTCTTACACATTGTGTATGCTCTTTCTCTTGACAGTAAGCCTGCTTGTTATCTGATGTATTAACTCATTTTTATTGTGATATCTTTTAAGTTATTCCATGGTTAAAAGTGGGAACCCTATGTAAATTGCAGTAGTAATTAAGGGGAAAACAATCACTTATGCTCCTGCTTCTTTGAGTATGTAATTACTTGAATTTTTAACTGCTAGCTTCAAAATTTGAATGGCAGGAGCTGTTTTGCAGAGCTGTATGTTTTTTCCTTTTAGGATAAATAGCTTTTTTATTTTCCTCTGGCCATTGGCATGTTGTATTTTGTTTTGTTGGCCTGTTCTTGTTTTAAAGGGGTTTGGTATTTTGCATTATGTAATTAATTTTTTTTGTAGAACATTGCTGTAGTAATTGTTGCACTGACAAAATTTAGTTATTGAAGTTAGAGATGGAGAAGTTGATGAGAAAATAAATTTTAAATGAAGGTTTCATACTCTAATAACAATTGACTGTGTGTGTTAAGTCTTCATTCTCAAATATTGCTAACACAAAGATTTTGACAGAGAAGTCTTTGTGACCAATCAGCAGGTGATATGTAATATTTCCATCGAAATGGAAGCAAACTGCTTCTTGGCAATGTGCAATATGCTGATTAGACACAGAGAGCTAAGAACAAAATTTACAGTACGTCTGTGTGTTGTCCAGTGGCAGGAAGTTTACTAGTCACAATGCTGCTATGCCTTACCTTCCTGTTCTCAATTTCTGTTTCTTTTCAATAATTTACTGCTAACAGCTCTTAGGAGACATACGGACTAAGGTATAGAAACTATTTTTCTTCTTCAATAGTTTAATAGTTTGCTATTAACATATTTGATACAAAGTAAGTTAAAATGATAGAATATATGGATTTAGACCTGATTCTTATATTCTGTAACATATATAAAGCTATTAAGTGAAATAACTAACTTTAAACACAGAGTCTTTGTTTTTCTATCCTGCAGTCTTATGGGTTGTTGCAGGTAAACCTAAAGTTAAACATTTTGCCAAACATGTCTTCTCTGTGTTTGCTTTGCTTTTATACTTGGAATACTGTGCAAGCCATACTTTAAAATATTTTTATTAACTTGGTTTGACCGGCTGAACAGTTGGAGCCATTTGTCGCTGCAGGGAATAGGGGTCACACCAGTTATTTGAGCTGTTGGTCTTTCTATAAATTATGGGCATGTTATACTGTCTCTTTGAAAATCAGTGCTTATGTGAGTTGTTTCTGTGCAATAGAAGAAGCCTGTGCGAAGAAGATATGAGTCCTATGGGATGTACTCAGATGATGATGCCAACAGTGATGCTTCAAGTGCCTGTTCAGAAAGGTCCTATAGCTCTAGGAATGGAAGCATACCAACATACATGAGACAGACAGAAGACGTGGCTGAAGTCCTGAATCGCTGTGCCAGCACCAACTGGTCAGAGAGAAAAGAAGGCCTTCTGGGCCTGCAAAACTTACTAAAGAACCAGAGAACTTTAAGGTAAGAAGACATGTTAATAGAGAAAACATTTTATTTCAAAGTTGTTGAGAGGCAAGGGAGAGAGGAAAGGCAGGGTGTTTGTCTCTGAGAAGAAGGTGGGAGAAAGAATGGGAAAGCTTTTCTCACTTCTGGCAAATAATGTATATTTACGATTTTACTAATGTATGTAGTGAATTCAAAATTTAGGAATTTTTGTATTGTAAGAATTCTCTTAAGTCCTTGCATCTAGTATTGATGGAAGGCCTTTATTTTATTTATATTGTAATTAATTTTTTGTTATTATTATTATTTGGGGGGTATTTATTCAGAAGAAACTGTTTACTACTCGCTGCTAAGAATACCTTTTTCATTATCTGCTCCATTAAAATAGCTGGGAATGGTATAATGTATGGGACAATTTAAAGAGACATTTCTAGGTTAAAAGTCTCATTCTTGATACAATCTTTTACATTTTTATGCATGTCTTAAAATGCCTTTCTCTACCTAGTTTAGTAGATTATTTGATTCAATATTTACAGTTGATTTTGCTGATTGCTATGCATTAGTGTTCTAGTAGTACCAGCAAGGGAGTTGACTAATGTATTGTTGTCACTTTGACAGTCGTGTTGAGTTGAAAAGGTTGTGTGAAATCTTCACAAGAATGTTTGCTGATCCTCACAGTAAGGTATGTTTAGGTATTTCTTATTTTCAGTAAATGTTTGAAATTATCTATTACTAGAAAGGCAGTTATGATACATTACGTTAGTGATAATTGCACATGTAGAATTTGACAAGCGTAAGTAGTTAATGGTATCACTTTTCAATTCATTTAATTTGCGATTTTGAACAAGATAATCTTCCTCCTTTCTCTGCAGGATCATTAAAATGAAGTAAAGGTTAGTGTAAAATAAGATATGTTGAAGTAGTTCAGCAATTTGTGCTCAAAATTTGCATTTTTAAGTCATGTTTACAGAGGCCACTTCAACATGAGTAAGGGTTTTCTCAGTTAAAAACAAAAGGCTCTCCAGTAATATAAATTATAAAGAAAGCATTCTGACTAAATCACGCATAGTCTGATGAACTGTGCCAAATGTGTGCTCCCTTATTTCCCAGGGTATTTTGTATTATCATAGCTTATGATATCTTTCTTGAATTTCATAAATAGGACTGGCAGTTGAGACTGGTGAATAATTTTTACATCATTGTTAGTATTCCATAAGGAGACTATACTTTGGTATAAAAGAATATGTGATGTTTTATTTAGTTTTGCCTAGGTAAAGACTCAGTATGGATGATATAACAAGGAGAATAATCTGTTTTCTAAGCTGACTTACTTCACTTGATAGTACTTTTACCGTTTTTTTGGGAGGTGGGTTACTAGTACAGCTTGATGTATGTCACAGTTTCTCATAGCAGAAGGACTGCAGGTAAGTAAGGATCTTAATAAATGGTATCACGTAAAAAAAACCCACGTAACATCACATTTTATTAGAATTATAGGCTTGTTTGGAAGAAACCTTACCTTTTATGTTGAGTATAACATGTTCCATTTTGTGTACATATTTCAGAATTGGTAAAATGATAACCCAGGTAAATTCAGAGCAAAGTATTATTTCAGAAGCATTGGCTTTTCCCAGTAGAATTCTGAAAAACCACTTTGATTATGCAATACATTTTACATATGTTTAAGTCTTCCTTATTGCTGCTATGGAAAATGAAATTCAGAGTGGTGGGAAGTCTTAACAGTGTCTATCTCTCCTTATTTTTCCTGCTGGAAAAAGTGACTTAGCTGCTATCTCTGACACCATGTATTTTGGTAAAAACTTGCATTCAAGACAGCAATATGATACTGAAGTTACTGACATACTGCAGCAGTCCAGAAGAAAAGACTAAACCAAGCAGTTTAAGAGAAGAAAACATTCCATAAAGAGAAAATTTGAAGAAGAGGAAAGAAAATTAAATGTTGACATATTACTGATTTTCAAATGAAGTAGTGACAAAATTGTGAATACCAGCTCAGTTTAATTTTACCTTTTCTGTGTTAATTAATATTGCAGCAATGAATATATCAGAACTACTTTGGAGATTTCTTTTGTAGTGGGAGAGCCAGGGAAGGATAATGAAAATGTTCCAAAACTTGTGTCAGAAGAACATTTTACCTTTTCATTAAGCCTTTAGGAATGTTACATTGAGTTGTTCTAGTTGATTGTTGTGTTTGTTTACTGGGCATTCTGACGTAAAATAACATTACTTTGAGTTTGAAATTGGACCTGTGTTGTAACACATGTGGTACTCTTGTTCCAGTCACTGAAACCTTGCCTGCTTTTTGGTATTGCAAAACTATTAATAGTTACCCATATATTATCAGGAGGATCCTTTAAGTATTAAGAGTTCATGAGCTGTGATTTTTTTTTTTTGTTACATACATACGGCTACATAAATCTCATCTTAGATTCTACTTAGGTACCTGTAGGAATTACTCTGTCATCACTTTTGTGTTGTTTTTTTTTTAAAGTTTACTTTAGCATGATAGCTGGATGTAGGGAGTTACACAGAAAAAGAGATTATTAACATTTGGAGGAGAAAATGGGAGAATGATTTAAAGAACATACCAAGTGCTTATTTTAAAAATACATTGGGTATCCCAATAAAATTACTAAATTTATCATAAAAGTTTTGAAATACCTTTTTTGTTTTATTTTGTTTTATATTCCATACAGGAACTTTGTATTGATGGCCACTAATTTGTGTGTTTTTATCTTTTTCCCTTTTCTGTTGTTCTTTTTTGTTTTGTTCTGTTTTTGTTTCGTTTTGCATGCTGTCCCCTGTGTTGGAACTCTCTTTAGAGAGTAAGTTGGTTCAATATTTGTTGGAAGCCTAACCTTACTTGCATGAATGTGCAATTAACCCTATTTCTCTATTTTTCTTCCCCAAAGAGTTCATGCAGTGTCAAGCCTTTTGCAGTCATAAAATGCTATATACAATTAGTAAACTGTGTGGTAAATTTTCAAGATGTGCTTTATCTACTAATTAACTGACATTGTTTGGTTATGCATTCCTGCTTTATATTGTGGTGGTTGGCACATCTGAAATAATTCATTTTAAAGGTAGATCACTTATAGTTATTTTCATATCTATTTTTTTTCCACTATCAAATTATTAAAACCTTCAGCTTTAGATGGTTAATTTCAGAATTTTAATTTGCATCATAAAAATGGAAACTGCAGTTTTTGCAGTATCAACATACATTGTTCAACATATAGGTGGTTGAGTTCCATTTTCCATTCCAAGTTCATCCTTTACCTTAAATGCTCTTTCAGCCTTCTTAAATTGTTCACACTTTGGTATAAGACAAAATGGTATGATTAGTTGTTTGTTTTGTTTTTTTTTTAATAAAACAAAATGACTCAAATGAGTTTTCTCCAGACATTCACTATGGTAAACCTAAAAACAAATAAAACATGAAAACAAAACTGAGTCCTCAGTTAGGTGTATTTTTAACAGCTAAAACATCAGCACAGGATCTTAAGAGTACTTTTGCCAGTGATTGATAATTTGTTTCCATAATGATTTGAAATTAAACCACTTTACATGTTTGAAGTATCATAAGTAGTCCACATTACTCCATCAAATAAGAAGTTGTAACCAGTTTGTTCAGCCTTCGTGTTTTAATGGAGAAGATGTGTGTGTCAGTGTCTGCAAACTCAAAGAAACAGGTTTAAACAGGTTTAAATTCTGCTGACCTGTATAGTTTAATTTGAAGGGTTTTGAATATAGTTTTAAGATCCCCCAGTGTAATCTTTATAGCACTGGAATTTTTTTTTTTGTTGCTTACCTAAGTCCAGTATACTTTTCCCATATTTTAGGGCTGTGAAATCCAAAGACTGTCATATTACAATACAGAAAGTACTTATTGCTTTGGTTTGCCGGTCTTGTAATTGTGTCTACAGCTTTGTGCATCCACAAAGTGATGTATTGTTTCAGTTTAGCCTAATACAGAAGATGTTTCTAATCCCAAGCATAAAAATTTCGTCCCAGTACTGGCAGGGTAATTTGTCAAACTCAGACATGAATACAGCAGGGAGTTGGCAATTTTTCTCTCTCTCTTTTTTTTTTTTTTTTTTTTTTTTTTTTTACAATTTCTAATGTAGTTTGCCCCAAAAGGGAAGTTAATTTAAGCAGCTAATCATTACAGGCTTTATATTGAGTAGGATTTGTATTGTTTTGTTTCTAACATGGATCTTCAGTATTTAAGATGTTTCTTAAAGGGTTCTCCCTAGTCTTTAATGGATCCTGAGAAAATCATAGAATACCTAGATAGAAGGGAACCTCAAGGATCACCTGGTCCAACTTTTCTTGACAAAAAGAATTTGAACTTATTTTTTATTTCTAGTGTAAATTTTGAGGCACTTCTTTAAAAGATACTTGTGTGGATTTTTTCCACTTTATGGCGTGCATTTGCATACCCTGACTTGATAATCAACTTAAGAGATCAAATTTCCTCAGCGAAGAAGGCATACAGCAGCATACACCACCTCCTTCAAATTTGGGTCAGTGTTGTGGAAGAAAGTCCACTTCATGGGCTTGTCTCTGCAGCCACATGAGGTATGATCACAGTTTGGGATCATGCACCCTCACAGACAGTAGCAAAATTTGATCATATGACTAGGCAGGTCAACTGCAGGAGGATGTGGGGTTCCAGCCCTTCCTCTACAGCAGCAATTTCTGACCATGTACCCATGTCAAAAATACTCGAGAGGCAATATCTCTCCAACCTGCTTTGCATCACAGCACTATTTCTGCTTCTATACCCAACTCTGTGCTGGAGCTAGAGTGTGAATCAGTTCTGAAGGTAGCATTTTCAGCCCAAACACCCATTTTTCTTGTCAGAGAAACAGGAAATCTATGGGCCACACTTGTATAGAGCATATACATTCTGATTTCACTCTGTAAGTCTTGGAAAAAACCTTAAAATTAGTGAGATATACAAAAAGAGTTGTTTAAACCAAGTTACCTATTTGTCGTGCCCTCCTTTACCCCTTCCCTCCAAAAAGCCCTTCTTCCTGGTGTGAGTGCTGAGGTTACTGTAAATACAAAAATACATGGTTTTGTTTTGATTTATTTTTTTTACCGAACGCAGTCTTTTCAACATTATTTGTTGAAAAGAACACAATGGATATCCTGTTTTCTAAAAGACAAAAGTACTTCTGTGTTTTAAACACCTGCCAATCTGAAATGCATTCATCGTGACTTTTTTCCCTACTGTGGTGAATAATTTTGTGTTGGGATACCTGCAATAGTAGAAGAATCTTGTTCTCTTCTACAAATATTTTATGTAAAGGAATTGGCGAACTTTCATGATTTTGCAGTATTTAGTAATGCATATACTTACAATTAATATTTTGCTAAACAATTGTAGCAGCTTTTTTGGTTTTAAAGAGAAAGCCTTTTTGTAGTCTTTGAGGAATATGTCAAATCAACTCAATGATAAAGCTTGAAAGGGTAAAAAATTAAGTTATACTTAATATTTTAAGGAAAAATTGAGGTTGCGCCAGCCATCACAGTAAGCATTTCTTTTCTTGACAAAACTGCATGGAATATCTAATTGTCAAACTCCTACAGAAGCCAGCTAACATTTCCAATATACTCTTGTATCAAAATCCAATGAAAAAGCAAGGCAGATTTCTTTTCTTTTCCTTTATTTTTTTTTCCTGCTTGGCTGCAAAACACTGCCTTTCTCTGCCTTTGATTCCCTTACTGCTTTCTTCTTTGTTTGTAAGTTCAGCATACGTCAGTGTCGTTTCCTCTTTTGCCCCATCCTACCCTCTTTCCATCTTCTTCTGCCTTTTAGGTGTTCAGTATGTTTTTGGAGACACTGGTCGACTTCATCCAGGTCCATAAAGAAGATCTGCAGGACTGGCTGTTTGTACTGCTGACACAGCTGTTGAAAAAAATGGGCGCTGATTTGCTTGGATCTGTACAAGCAAAAGTTCAGAAGGCGCTTGATGTCACAAGGTAATGAGTTGTTAAGAAGTAACAACAATATAGTTGTTAATAATGGAAGAAATTAATTGTTAGAAATAAAATAAAGTTCTTAATAACAAAAGAAAAAAATTCCAAACCATTACTTCCAGGTTATTTCTTTGTCTTTTTTTTTTTTTTTTATTGTGTGTTTTATGATTCTTGGAAAAATGCAGAGCTCATAACAGATTGTGAAACTTCAGTAAATCTTGGTACTTAAGCATCTTGGTTTCCTAAGTGATTCTCAGTTGAAAGGGTCTGAGTTTTTAATGCTGAAAAACTAATATGCTACTACTTATCTGATTCCAAAATGTACATCTGAGCCATGTATGTTTGTTGTCTTGCCCCGTGTTCGGTGATGTAGAAATTGTGTTTAAACTTCTTTATTTTGTTGTAAAAGTCTTATTGGAATATTCATCTCTCAGTGTCAGCATAACATTTAATTATCATGGCAATAATAGGTTTGCTGTCTGTCTTCCCTCCGTTGTCCCCAGACTTCATTAATAGACTGATTCCAAAATGATCTTCATGATTTTGGGGACCCTCAGAGATACCCATCCTTGTCTAGTGTTATTTCCAATTGAAAACTAAGTCTTTTAAGTAGAGTTGGAGGGGCTCTGGGACTTATTGTCATGCTCCATTCTCTGAAGTACAGGACAGTCTAAGCAGTCCAGGCCTCTGCTGAGCCTATCCACGTGCCAGATGGGCTGGGAAATCTGGGGAAGAGTATGGCGTATGTAGCTGGGAGACAGAAAATTTTTTTGCTGCTGCAGCGGACCCCTTGAGGATCATACCTGGAGATGCAGTATGGGAGAGTAGAGAGCAGAATGGAGCAGGCTAGTTTGGAGAAGTATATGGGAGGGGTGTGGTGTATAACTTCAGCAGTACTGCTGCATATTGACTTGGGGATTGCAAAAACTTAGAATATGATACTACCATATCATTATTGTATGATTCCTTATTACTTGTGTTATCTATTATAACTGTAATTGCTTTGAAGCAGGAATTCTTTTAATTTTGTCCTTTACATACCAAAATGAATGTTTCTGAAAAGTCAGATACAGTATCAGCAAAACCTGTAGAAATTTCTTTTAGAAGTACTAAAGCTTTTCTTCACTGAAAAGAGTGAGGGCTTATTTAGCATTTCTCAAAAGGTATTAAGAGAAAATTTCACATAACCTAACATTATTTTGTTTGTTTACAGGGAATCTTTTCCAAATGACCTCCAATTCAGTATTTTAATGAGATTTACTGTTGACCAGACCCAAACACCTAGCCTGAAGGTAAGACTTTTCAGGCTTGCTTTGAAAACAGAAATCTTCATTCATAGACATTTTTTTTGTCTTAATATTTGAAATTGGATTGTTATTTTTGTTTTGTTTTGTTTGAAAACAAAGGAAAAAAAGTTTTTCAATTAGTGGATTTTGTTTTTGTAAACTTTCAGACAGTCAAGCCAGCACTACAGGACCAGCTTCGCTCTTTTTGGAGCTCAAAGGTTTTTGTCTGAATTATTGTCTTTATTCTTTAACCCTATGTGAAACTCTTACAGTGTTTTCAGTAATTTTTATTTGAATGCATTCATATGCTGCTACTAACCTTTGCGAGAAACTTTAAGCATGCAGATGTTCAGTTTTAAACATGACAATAGTATGAAAATGTTTGCTACAAGAGAGATCTAATAAAACCACAATACAGTAAAAATGAGCAACAAAAATGTGGCTGCCTAACATCAAGCTGGTTATGCAAACTCACTCTATCAAGTCTTTTCTAATTTTATGTTTGTGATTTCCCAGTCTTCTTTTCCTAGTTCATATATATATAGATTTATTTTCCTGTGTTTGGCCTGATAGGTCTTCAGTTATTTTAAATTATTCTAATATTAATATGAATTTGAGTTACTGTGTCAAAAATCAACTCCCTCTTTGGTACACTTTTCTGAAAGCATTGTGTAGTTTTATAATTACACACATTTTTACATAAGAATCTATAGTCCATAGACCTGTCAGCAGAACTGAAAAGTAAAAATGTGTTCTGTAATACATTTGCAGTTCCAAAGAGAGTTGATTTTAGTATAAATGCATCAAATCCTAAGAAGATTTATGAGTAATGTGAAAGGGGAAATAACAAGCATATGATAACTGGCATTTTCTGCTCTATCCTGCACGAAATACAGTTTGACACTGCACAAGAATATGACTTTTCCCAAGTTATGTTGAACCTAAAGTCACATGAATATGCCTTTTTTGTCTACAATACAGTAAAATTTACATTTTTAAGCTTTTGAGGACAGTTGATACGTTGACCACTGTTGCTTCGTAGAGCTGTGTTAAAAAGGGACTGCTGTCATTTATTGAAGACAGCAAATGAGGTAGTAAAAATCAGTTTGTTGTTTAAATGAATCCTTGGAAAAAAATGATCTTGGTTTTATTTTACTTGGTTTCCTCCCCAGGAAGGTGGATTTGATGGTTGAGGTAGTCTTTTTTTTTTTTTTCCCATACAGTAGTATAGGTAGTAAAGGTATATTGAGCACGTTTCAAAATTGAGAATGTAGATTTAGAACAGGACACAGACTCCTACTTGACTGAGCTGGGGCAATGTTCAATATTATTCACTGTATGGCCTAGAAGGAATTAAGAAATATGTAACACTTAGTGGGAAGACATTCCGAAAATAATTTCCAGTATTTGAGAGAGACTTCTGAAATCAAGATGTCGGTAAAAGTTACCTCTGTAGAAGGACACGTGTTAGTTTGAAACAATATCAAGAGTATTTAAAATGAATTTTTGGAACAGTAAAGTATGTTTAAGAGAAGGTAAGCTTTTTTCTAGAAGAAAGTGGTATCTCCTCCCTACTTCTGTCTTCATATGGTAACTACAACTTCAGGATCCAGACAGTAAAGTTATTGAGCACAAGTTGCAGAAGTATCTATTTAATATCCACATTTTTAAATACTTTTACTAAACCCATCTTCAGTGCACCCAGATGTCTAACAGATTAATTGATAATCCTAGGGCACTACTCCAATTCTTGAAGTCTTCAGCTTTTGTTCTTTGATAAATTATTATCTTGTTTCACAGTGTGCCTTTGGGCAAGGAATACTGAGAAGCGGCAGTCACTGTGACAGGAAAAAGTCAGAGAAGGGATTTTCAGCATCCTTAGAGATGGTCAGATATAAGAAGGAATGGTATATTAGAAATTTGTGCCATGGAATGATTGCCTTCTGCAAATTACTTTTTCCTCTGGTTTTCACATGGTAGTAAATAATCATGACCCTTTGGAGTAAACCATCATTATCATTCTTACCCTTAGAAACACAGCTAAGTCTCAGACAATAAAACTTGAGCTTTTAGAGCAGCCACAGAGATGGATTTGGATAGCTAGGCAGTAAGAGGACCAACCATAAAGAAGGTAGAATTCTACTGACCAAATCTGCAGAGGATCCAGCATAATGTACTGTGCAGTATCTGTCTTAGTTCTGTGGTAATTTTACGTGTAGGTGTGGTGAACTGCTGAAACTCAGCTTAGAGATGTCAGATGCATATATCTATTTCGGTCAAATGTATAGGTGGGCATAGGAGCCAAATGTTCTACACGGGATATAATCTGTTAAGCTTATTTTTGTGGGTGCAAAACATTTCCAAAGAATGAATGTTGTCCTGAAATACACTTCCAGTCATTTTTCTTGGCTTGAATATCAGATGGCTCAGACTCAGTGAGGAATTGATTTAAGCATTGTGACCAGAGCTCACATTTCTGAATCCCTCTTTCCTTTGAAAATACTGATTTATTGACAAAGGTTTTTGCCGCAGTTGGATCAGAAGTTGTTTTTTTTTTTTTTTTACAAAGTCAGTATTAAAATTTCTGAATTAAAAGAAAACAACCAACCAACCAATGACACAGATTTGCAGCAGTGAGAGAGCCCTTCAAAATTCACCTTTAGTGTACCTTTTAGTAATTTTGTTAAATAATGGCAGAGGCAGTCACTTTTTAGTATCCAGTAACTCAGAGACAGACACCTGGGGTGTAAGCAGACTGTTTTCAGGTTTGAGGAAAGCAACTTCTCTGTATTCCTTTCTCCTTTTTTCTTTTTTTTCCTGTTACATGAAATGTTTCTGTTCTCTTACCCTGATGTAGCTAAAGAGAAACCCTGTACATCTCACATTTTTCACAGGACAGAAAAACAATTTATCCTCTAGCACTGACTCTGTAGCATTCTTACAGTAGTTCCTGAATCTCTGGAGGTAGTTGCACATATTTTTGTGCCAGAACTTATTGTTTCATTATATGTGAAAGATATTTATGAAGCACTTTAATTCTATTTATGTCTGATCTATTTTTTTGTGAGTCATAGTGCTAATCGTGACTTGATCTGTATGTATTTCATCTCACTTACTGCAGCAGTGCTGTTCTTAAACAAAATGCCTGTCTGTGTTATATACTGTACAGGAAAAATGCCTCAGTGTTTATAGTCCAGCAGAAATGCAGTAAATTCAACCTAGAAGAGTACAAAGAACGTCAGGACAGTATTAAGCAACTTCACAAAGAGTGGTTTCAGATTAATGCCAGATACTCATTGTAAGAATTTTAGAGATGCTTTCATTGCAGTCAAAAAATTTTCATCTCCTCTCTCAGAAAGATTAGATGGATTGTTGAAAGAGAACTGTGCTAGACTTTTTATTCCTGAATTTCAGTTCTGTACATCTTATTGTAATAAGCAAAATATTGGCTATATTGTAAATACTGGCAAAAAATATTGGCAAAAATACATCTAAAATAGATTCACTGCTCTTATGGAGTTTACTTCAGGGTGGGTTTTTTTGTCTGTAATAATACTGTTTCATTATATGTGAGCATAGAAAAGTATAGCCCTTCTAGAATTTCTTCTCTGAAAAACAATTGGTGAAAAACACTCTTTTTCAAAATAGCTCTCAAATTTAGCTTTGGGAATGTGTCTCACTGTGAAAAGCTTTATTAGTGTGAACTCTCTCCGTTCATCTTCTGTTCAGTGCTCTTCTCTCTCCTGAGAGCCTCCGTCTTTCCAGAAGTCTGTGCGATTTCCTCAGGGAATAGTTTAAACACTAAATAATACTCCTCTCTCAGATACAGTACTTCAGAGTTTTTTCAGTGGGAGAAATGCCTCTGGGTGTTCTAAGTGTTACAGCTCTTAAGAGCAATTTTTTGGAAGTGTTATATTAAATATATTTATGTCCTAAACAGTGAAACATAGTGTTGTCATAATGGTTTCACTTGGTAATGTAGAAATTTTAACTACTACTTCATATTTGGGAAGTCATGTGACCTAAGGTTTTTTGCTCCAGAGGTGTTTGTGGTTTATTTTTTCCTTGGAAAGAATCTAGCGTGTGGGTTTTACTGCATTTGTTGATATTGATCTGCATAAGATGAAAGCCTCCAGCTGTTACTTGTTGTGTAACTTCAAAGTTGAGCTTTAACAGCTGCTTTGAAAATGAAGTATTCATTATTAATCCTCGTGTGTGTGCCAGTGTATCTTGAGTTTTTACTAGCTTGCAAGTTTCATGACCAAGAGAAATTTCTGAATAGCTTTGCTCAGAACAGTTGTACTACAAGCCATGAACAATCAAAGATACACCCAGAACTGGTTTGGTTTCTGATTATGATGGATGTAGGTGTCTCCCTCCTGATAGGTATTTCTAGTTCACTGTAATTATTAGTGGAAATTAAAGCAGCCAAGTCAAATAGGTGACCTAAATAAATGTTCACCACTTTTGTTGGTTGGGTGACAAATCTCTGAGGCAGCAAGAGTTGAGGAGGTAAATATTATAGAGGTATAGTAGCCCTTTGCCCAAGTAGGGCAGTATTGGACAAACTAGAGAGAGGCTGGGATGTACAGAACAGGGATTCTGCATAAGGAGTAGAGGGAGTTAGTGGAGTGATAAACCTTAGATAAATCGGGGAGTACAGCAGCTTTTCTGTCGTCCGGGTAAATCCATGTCTCTGTCTTCTACATATCTTTAAAAAAAGTGTGCACGTGACCCCCCCCCCCCCGAGTCTCTCCTAGAAATTCCACTCCACACCTTCTTAATATTTAATGGGAAGATTCCTGTGGCTTATTCCCAAGGACAGTGACTGCTTGACTCTGGTGTTTTATAAAAAAGTACTGAGTATTAACTACCTAACTGCTAGTAGGAACTAGTAAGAGCTGATTATTGGTTCATCAAATGATACTCATTTTTCATTTTAGTACTTGAAAAAAGTTCATAGTAATTCTGAATAAATCTTTTCTTTCTTTTTTTTTTAAATACAAGCTTCTGCATATGCAGTGATTTATGTGTCCTTTAATTGCAGTGAAATGTAAGCTTTTTATGAATATTTGAATTTCTATGGAATAACTCCCTTCTTCAAATGTTTATCCACTTGTAAATTGATTTGTTATAAAAAGTTTTATATCAATGCTGAAAACATGTCTAGTTTAATTAGAAAAAAAGCAGTCTTTATTTTAGGGAATACTCCATTCTGCAAGCACACTTTTTCTTGTAGCACACCATTTTTACTGTCCACCTGACTCTGTTTCTCTTTGCAGGTCAAAGTTGCAATCCTAAAATACATAGAAACTCTTGCACAACAGATGGATCCAGGAGATTTTGTTAACTCAAGTGAAACAAGGTTAGCAGTGTCTCGAATCATCACCTGGACCACTGAACCTAAAAGCTCAGATGTTAGGAAGGTATGTTTGTTAATGTGTCCTTAGCATTGCAGTACATTCCAAGTACCTTGGCAAATTAGAGAAGGTGATATTTCTTGCCTAAACAAAAAAAAAATTCCTTTAAAAGCAAACTTATTTCTTTCGTAGAGAAAAGATACTTTTATATCGTTCTCAGTAAATGCATCTATTTTTTCTGTATAAAGCATCAAAAGTGAAAAAGTAGATTTTTACCAAAAAAGTAAAAATTTTAAATTAACACATCTTGAAACTCTCCATTAGGGTTATGTTTTCATGTATGTTAATATGTTGAGATTGTTTCATAATACAAGGAATAACTTTTATTTCAAGCACTATCTAGTATCAAAATTTCTTTTCTATACAGTTTTAATATTACTTCAGAGACCACCCTCTGTGATGCTAATAGCACATTTGTAAGCAGAGTGAGTGGTAAATTTGGTAGCAAACTTGGTCTAATCTCTGTTGGATTTTCTCAAGTCCTTTGTGTTTAACAAAGATAGGTAAATAGCTGTTGAACCTCTGACAAAAGCAAATTGGTACTTTAATAAGGTAGTGTCAAAGGTTTGTTCTTGTAGTGCTGCTGTTCCAATGCAAAGCTCCTTTTTCCATCTAACGTGAAAACTAATATTTGTGAGCTACACAGATATAAATGTACTATTAATGCAGGCTTTGGAAAGGGTTTCTAAATAGTACTTCAGCTTACAGATAGCAAACGTTTTCTAATTTTGTTTGCAGTTTGGTGGAATTGAGTTCTGTTCTGACAGTCACCAGCCATTCTTTCATAGCTGCCATTGCCAGCATGTTAACACTTTTTGAAGGCTACATAACCATACTAACTTTATGTCTCATCAGTGCAAGTGTCTTTGACACAGAAAACTAAAAATAAAAATAACTTCTATGACTTCTTGGTATCTAGACTGCTTGTAATATTCACTGAAAAAAACCACAGGAGAGTTTATATTTGAGATACTGTTTTAGTCTTTCACTTCTTGTATAACTTTGTGAGTATGAGAAAGCTGTAATATATTATATCCAATGGACTTTTCTTGCCTGATATCATGTTCTAGTGACATATAAAAGACCATAAAACAGGAGGAGAATTGAAGCAGCACTATCTTCTAAATCAGTGAAGTTTTAGTACTAAGACACGTGGCAAGCTGTCTTATCTGATGGTTCATATGTCTAATAAGCATTTTTATGTCAATAAGTAACTGAATCATGGAAAGAATTGCCAGTGAGTTTAATTGTCTGGAACACCTTAATTATATAAGTTTTCTCATTTTATTTTTTCTTTCCATAACACAACTGTCAGAGGCAACTAGCGGCCAAAATCCTTTTATAACTCTTGACAATAAAATTTTACCAATAAGAAGTCAAAAGAGTTATTCTGATTATACAAAATATTTCATTCTCTTAACAGGCTTCTCAACCTGCTATTACAGGCTTTTTAATTTTACTTCGTTTAATAGACTTTATAGCATTTAGTATGATTTCTTTAAATAACAAGCTTTTCCCAAAGTACTTCTGTATAATTCAGGGATTTGGTTTTTTCATTAGTAAAAACATTTCCAGTGCTAAGTATTGTGAAAAATCTTAGTTTATTAGTCTGCAGTTGGGCGCTTCTGGTGTAGTTCAGTGACATGGGACTTCTTGCTGGAAGGTAAAATTGTGTTTCAGAACACAGATTTCTTCTAAGATTAGAATGCTTCTGGAAAGAGTTAGAATCTTCTTAGAGTTCTTCTAAGAAGAAAACAAAACCAAAGAAATACTTCTAACCCTTATTGCAGTCTTTAAAGTTGATCTCTGTATGACTGAAATATCAAGAGAGAGCTTATGCTGAGGAGAAGAAAAACTTCCCAATACTCTAAAATGTATATAATACTCTAAACGTAATGAAGTTTCTGTGTTCAGGAAAAAAGAGAGAAAACATATAATTGCATAGTTGAAAACCTTCTGTGAGTCAGTATTAATTTTGATACTTTGGACAGAGCTTCATTTTGGGCAGACACGATGGTATTGTTTTCTGATATGACCCTGGACTGTCCATTGTGTCCTTTTATTAGCAGCTTAAATAGACACAGTGTTATGGATTGGAGACTGGATAACAGGACAGAAAAAGGAAAGTGGTAATTCCCAAACCTTTGCTCAGTTGATGAATTTGTTTTGATTTTGCCTTGTGTCAATTTTGATTAAAAGACTGACCATAAGAAATAACAAGGACAAGAGAAACATCAAAGACAGATTGCAGAGGGCATTCACGGTGATCACTTAAAGGGAAAGCTTGTCACAGGGAGAAGGAAATAAAAGTTGAAGAAAACAGCTAGTCACGAGTATGGAAAGATAATTTGTGGCAATCTGACATGCTCAGATTTTTGTTGTTAAACTTAATACTGAGATGTGTGCAGGTATGTGTTCTCATACCTTGGCTTTCCACTTTTAATTAAAAAATGCTACAGTTCATTGCTCTGGAAGCAAAAGGAGGGAAATAAATGTCTAAAAGAATTTTTCTCAACTACTTGCTTAGAGTATGTTGCTGCTTAAGCAGGCTGCCTATAATTCTGTCTCACATGAGGCACTGGTTCTCTCCAGTGCATGGCAGACTTTGGTGGTGAGCTGTATAAACTACACATAGTTGGTTAATCTTACAATCAGAGTTTCTTACTACAAAGAAGCTGTTAATTCTCGAACTTTCTCTAGCTCTTCTTTGCACGTTAGTTTAGTTACAATGTTAACAGGTTTGTGACACTATCCAGTGAATCTTCATCAAACTGTACAAACTCTACTAATTTATGCAGTCAGTATTCCTTTACTAAAGGAATACAACCATTGTATAGCTTACTGTGTTGCTTTGTTAGTGAAGAGCAATGATTTTTTTTTTTTCAGGTAAAAAAATATATGTAATAAAACATGCTGTAGAAAGAACATGGTGTTAAAGATGAACTGATAAAATTGAGGGTGTGGGAGGTGACATCCAGTGGACTACAGACTTAAGTTGAAAACTTCAGAATACGTAGTCAGCTAAATGTTTGCCTATCCTTTAAAATGCTAAAAGGAAGCAGAGTGGGAAGTGGGGGCAAGGTTAACTAATTTGGCTGTAGGATACATTATAAAGAGTATCAAGTGCTGTGATCACTACAATCTTGTTCTAGTCAGGGTGTGTCTTGTTTGGGATATTTTTAATTTCTAAAGTGGTAACTGTTCCTTTTCAAGTTAGTGTGTTGATTAGCTATGATCTGGAATTGCTACTTTCAGTACTCAGGAGAAGGGAGCACAGGCTTGTTCCTGCCTGGTGTGTTCCATTTTTCTCTTTAAACTTGTTCAACTTCCCAAACCCCTTAAAAGCCATTTTGCAAATTCCTTCAGTATTTTTTTACTGAGGAGAGATCTGGGTTAGGGGAATTGAAAAGTGCATTTCTGAAAGACTGCTTGTTAAAATTATTGTTGTGTGCCTGAATTTATCAAAATCAGAATTTCAGCTTACCAGCAAATATGAATTGCTTTTGTTCCTATCTGTTAACGTCTTTATTTAAGCTTGATCAAGACTTAAGTCACATTTTGTAATTACCGCTCATTATACATTGCTTGCTGATAAAATTACTTTGAAACTCTTAATTAATGTCTTCAATTTGGATTTTCTTCTTGTAGGCTGCACAGTCAGTGCTGATTTCCCTTTTTGAACTCAACACTCCAGAGTTTACAATGCTATTGGGTGCTTTACCAAAAACATTTCAGGATGGAGCTACAAAGCTTCTCCATAATCATCTCCGGAATACAGGCAATAGTGGTCAGGTATCTTCACCTCTATTACTATTCTTTCTAAAGTTATTGATGTTTTGAACATAAGCGCATTTCAGTAGAGTTATTTGTGAGAGCAAGAAGGTTGGTAGAGGAGGAAAGGTAACCCAAATCTATGTAGAAGCCCATCTTAGTAGCTGATACCACTCTTTATGGAATGCCTTTTCTTGTTCCTGTAGAATTAAAGTTTCTTAGTCTATATTGCTTCCCGGTGACTTAATAAGTTTGAATGTGCTTTTTAAGAGTAGCTTATCTTTTACTTTCTAATGTCAAAGTTACACAGGATTAAAGTTGCTAGTAATTGTTTAGCCAATCCAAGAAATTAATAGAAGCTCTTTAAATGTTTCTGGGCACTAGAAAATAAATACAATAATGTAAAAAGGGAAGCTGAAGTCCTACTGGAGTATCTCTTCTCACCTCTCCTCCTTCTCCAGGGATCGATGGGAAGTCCTTTAACAAGACCTACTCCACGCTCCCCAGCAAGTTGGTCAAGTCCTCTCACTTCCCCAACCAATACATCGCAGAACACTTTGTCACCAAGGTGATGTAGGCTGGTGGTGTTACAGTTCTGCATCTAGGGTTTCATTGCACATTATCCAAAGTTGTAACCCCAAAGCATGAAGAAAACTTGGCACAAAATGACAGATGCTTAAAAATAGTCACCTTTCCTCCGTAGAACGATAGCACAGTGAACTGATAGTACATTGACAAGTGCCAAAGCTGGCCTTAGGTGGGAAAGGGCTGTGCATTTTGGTATGCAAATGGATTAGCAAGAGAGGGAACAGAAGTATTCACCTCTGACAAATGTTAGAATATGTCAGCTGAGTGTCGTGGTTAAACTCCAGTCAACAACTAAGCCCCACACTGCCACTCACTCCCCCTGTGGCAGGATAGGAGAGACAATCAGAATATAAAAGTGAGAAAACTCAGGCAATTTAATAGGTAAAGCAAAAGCTTCTTGTGCAAGCACAGCCAAACAAAGAATTCATTCACCTCTTCCCATGGTGGGCAGGTATTCAGCTGTCCTCAGGAAAGCAGGGCCCTATCACTTGTAACAGTGACTTGGGAAGACAATTGCCATCACTCTAAACATCCCTCCTTCCTCCTCCTTCGCTCTGTTTTATATGCTGAGCATGACTCCACGCAGTATGGAACATCCCTTGGGTCAGTTGGGGTCAGCTGTCCTGGTTGTATCCCCTCCCAGCTCCATGTGCACACCCAGCCCCACTCACTGGCAGGGCTGTGTGAGGAGCAGTAAAGGCCTTGGCTCTGTGTAAGCACTGCTCAGCAGTAACTAAAACATCCCTGAATTATCAACCCTATTTCTAGCACAAATCCAAGCATAACCCCCTACCAGCTACTGTGAAGAAAATTAACTCTTTCTCAGCCAAAAGCATCACATTGGGTCATAAAACCAGACTTAATATTGAGGAGACTAAAGAATTAAGAGTTTTAAATGGTTTTTGTGGTACCAATCTTGCCAGTGAAGTGGACTTTGTAATTTTGCTTTTACCAGTCGACTTCCTGTTGAGTTTTATCAATCCTCCTTACTTTGGGACTTCCTTCAGAAAGATGATGGTATAAAACTTCCAGGTGTTTCATACTCAGTAGAGTGAAAAAGCAAAACAAGTTCATTTATTCAGGCAGATGCTGCTACACAATGTAGCCTTTCCCTTGGCTGCTTCTTCTCAGTGCTTTCTGTCAGTGGCAGTATACCTGCTAAGACATACCATAATACAGTTTTGTATTGTGGAGAGCCAGATTGCTTTCTTAATGAGTTTCAAGAAAAGTGATAATTTTATTAATACCTCTTGAGTCTCTGTAGTTGTATGCTAATGTGATTTAAAAATATGAGGTCACAAAATAAATCTTAATTCCTCTGTCCTTCTTTGTGGCCCACAGTGCATTTGACTATGACACTGAAAATATGAATTCTGAAGATATTTACAGCTCTCTTCGTGGAGTCACTGAAGCCATTCAGAATTTCAGTTTTCGTAGTCAGGAAGATATGAATGAGCCTGTAAAACGAGATGCTAAAAAAGATGATGGTGACTCGGTGAGTATTTAAACTCAGTGCATCTTGGTATCAGCAAACTAAGCCAGTGTCTGATTACAGATGACAAAGCATCTGTGTCAGGAGGTTTATGTCTTACGACTTCTGAAATTGAATATTTCTTCCGAATTGAACTTCAGAGCTTTAGAAAAATATGTTCCTAGTCTTGAACCACATTTTGAAAATGTAAATACTAATTCTAAGTAGCACTGCCTGTTTATTTTAAAATGTTAACAGATTAAAAACAGATGATCTTGCAAAACAGCTGGAGTTCAGTTTTTGAGAAGCTTACACCCTAATATGTTTTCCTGAAGGTTTTATTTATTTTATATAAAACCTGTGGGTTTTTCAGTGCTACGTGCAGTGTTTAAAAATTCTGCTTCTGTGGAACTTTGGCTTTCAGATTTGTTGAGCTTGCCAAATATGCATATGCTTAAACACATTTTTAATTAATTTGCATCAAACTCGTGAGATAAAATACTGACAGCTGTTGCTAGTTCATAATTTTTTTTTGACTATGTACACTTTCCTTTTTTTGGTTTTTGGTTTGTTTGGGGTTTTTTGAGAAAAGCAAAGTTTAGGGAACTGTTTCGAAGACTTCTTATTTGGAGGCTAGTTTGAAATTTGTAAGCTTTTGCTACATAAATGAATTAGTAATGTAGTTAGTTGAAAGGTATGTCCATTTCATATGTTCCTATAATATTTCTCCTGCAGATTTGCAGTGCTTCTGGAATAGTAGACATACGAGCAGGAAGCGGTGTGAGCGATACAGGTCGAACAGCCCTTGATAACAAAACGTCATTACTCAACACAATGCCTCCCCACTCCTCACCACGCTCACGAGATTACAACCCGTACAATTACTCTGATGGTATTGGTCCATTTAATAAATCTGCTTTGAAGGAAGCCATGTTTGATGATGATGCAGAGCAGTTTCCTGATGGTAAGCTTCAGATTACATTCTGTGTTGGGAGAAAAATTATGAGATTTTCCATCTTCGAGTTCGATTTCTGAATTTATTACTAGCAGTGTATGTGGTGACAGTGCCACTTCTTTGAGAGGTTGTTACAAATACTGTATTTTGAACTAGTTTACTTGTTAGTAATCCATTTGAGTTACATTGTTGGATTTCCTGGTATTTGTAGAGATTAAGGGCAAAAAATTAGGTAAATACTGAACTATATTGTACAATGACTTCTGGTAGCACGTCCTGTAGCAGTATTGTCAGTATAAACTTACTTCTCAGATTGCTTTATGATTGAAATTTAAAGGGGGAGGGTGGAGAAAATATTTACAGCAAGGAAGTAAAACTGGATCAAACCAGTTAGGGAATGAGGTGAAAGATTAAGTATTTTGTTAGTAATATATTTGTATTTGAAACATGACATTGGCATTTTCTATTGGCTAAACATTCTTTTAAAACAAAACAAAACAAGCAGGCTTTTTGCCAGGAAGGTGGTTCAGTTAGCCCATGTAAATCCAGGAACTTGGGCTGCTGTTTCAGAAGATTCTAGAGCCTCCTTATAATATTTATCAGTATATCTTTGGGTAATTTTTTGTATCTAAATGTTGGGAAGGTTCCAAAGTAATAGTACTATCATTATTTTAATAAGCAGTCGATGGTTCTCATAATCTGGTATTCATTGGTTTTGGTATTTCATATTCAGCTATAGCTTAAGTAAATGTATTTCTTAATAGTGAGGGACAAATTAATTTTCCCCTTTCTGCCTGTTTTGCTTCTGTCATCCAGCTGTGTTTATAGAAACTGTTGAAAAACAAAGTTTTTTTAGGTTTGCATTAAATAAAAAAAAAATCCAAGTAAAGTACATTTCTCTTTGTTTTCTGTTTTATGAAGGGGCATATAGTATAGCCAATTATTTTCTGAAAAAGACTGAGGGAAAGCAAGTTTTTACGAATCATGTCATGTACATATTAATAATTAAATAGCTTTGCCATGCACATACAGGGCCAGTTTATGATTGAGATTCTGTATTACAGGGATCCCATTTTACATGGGGGAAGGATCTTTATACCTTCTGACAACTTATTTTTGGATATCGCATTAAACCAAATGCAGTCTGTGTTGCACCAGCATGATCTGGTTTTGTAGAAACTCATGACTGGCTGGAGTGAAGCATCCCCATCCAGTATTAGTTTGTCCTGGCTGGAGAAGTACTGCAGTGCATTATTTAGGTCTTCTTTTTAATAGATCTTAGTAAAGTACTTGGTTTCATTCCCGTGTTCACCCTTAGTATTTAGTTATATCATGTCCATTTTGTCATTTGTGTGTTGTTTTTAGAATTTCACCTAAGATAACTTGGAAAAAGTCTTCATGAGAAAAGACACGCTTGGCAAAATACTTTGTGCTTACAGTTCCTCAGTTGGGAGTTACGTGCTCTTCCCATAAACCTAAAGGGCTCATTGAACATCAGATTTCAGTTTTCAGAAGCTCCAGAGAATTGCTGCCTGTTCATGACAAAATTATGTTAGTATTGGACTCCCAGCTATCCTGTTGTGTATTACTGGGAGAAAGATGTGGAACAGGGATAGATGGGAAAACCTTAGCTACTGATATAGTCCTGTCAGCAGCACTGGGATACAAACGTGTATTCTGCAGATGGTTTGTCTAGAAGTTGAAAATTTCCAGTAGAGGAGATGTCACGGTGTAACTTCACATGACCATTTGAGTGTTTTGCCTCTCTTACCGTAAAAAGGTTTTCAGAGTAGCAGCCGAAATCTTCCAACCACTTGCACTTTGTTTTTTCCCCAGGGGAAATGCTGAAGCGTAGGGAAACCTGGCTTTCAAAGTCACTTCCAAACTCCTTAAAAGCAGTTCCCAGTGTCTGTTTGAAAAACAGTGTTCTTCTCTAAAGAAACTATTTATTTTAGCTTATTTCCATGGATTGTGTTTTCCAAACATTTTCCTTTTTACCTGCCACTTTGTATAAGGGCTTAAGATTTCTGCTTTTTGTGTCTCGCCTTACACTTAGCATCATTTTTTCTTTCAGACCATTACTCTGATTTATCATGATAATTTTCAATTTTTATCCTGTTCTCCAGAATGTTTGCAGTTCCTTTTAAGTTGATGTCATCTGCATATTTTATATTCATTCTATACTATTTAATAAAAGCATCAAACAGAACCAGGCTCTGCACAGACCTGAGCAAGGACATCACTTGTATCCCCCTAGATTAATAGAAAGCCATTTATAGTCCAGTCACCCTGCAAGTAATTCATCAAGTTTTGCACCACCTTCATTTGCTTTTGCTTTTTGCAAACATGGCCACCATGTTTGCATGCCTTTTGTATTAAGATGCTATGGGTGACAGTAGGAAAATCTTTCCTAAACTGAGGATATACCTGTATGTTCCCTTTGAAACCCCTACACTGTTTATCCTGTCAAAAAGATATTATTTGATTGGTTTGAGAAGAGCTGTTCTTCATCAAATATTTAACTCTCTAATGCATAGTTTAATTAATTCAAATGAAGGAACTGCATCTGCTCTTGTTCATTTGGGGTTTTTTTTCTTTCTGAAAAAGAAATTTTGAGAGTAGACTTTGAACATGACTTCTTTCCTGCTTCTCCATTCTTATCTGGAGAATGTTTGGAAATCAAACACTAGGTGCGAAGTTGTACAAAGGAATGGAAAATACAGGCTGTGAAGGCACACCCTTCTTGGTTATCTTCATGTTTTTCAGGAATTTCAGTTATTTCCTCAACTAATGAAGCTTCTTTCCTCCCCTTACTTCTGCATGGGCATGGCTGCTACATTCCCCTGTCTTTACCCCTTCCCTCCATTCATTAAAGATGACACCACAGTGAAAATACTTTATTTAAACTGATATGGGTAGTTTTGCTAATTAAGTGGCAATATGCATTCCCTGAAATAGGATTTGCTATAGCTGTCATCCTCACAGTTTGGTAGAATATGCATAATAGTTCTGGCAATAAAAATAATGATCTTGATTCTGTAAAAAGCAATTGTCCATTCTGCTCATCTCTGCTAATTAATAACTCACCTAATGCAACTTCACTCTGTCCTTTAGTCAAGTATTAACCATCCATTAATATAGAGATAGCAGAAGTGCTTGCAGTTTGCTTTCAGGTGTTTGTGCTCCTGTTTATTCATGCAAAACACAATGCAAATAGGAATGTGGGGTTCAAAAACAGCATGATTTTCATGGTAACTGACGTGTGATTTTAAGATACTTGATTCTATGGTATTCAGCTTTTTTCTTTGTGCAAGTGCTTTGTTCAGTATTTACAAGTTACAGTATTGAATACAAGATGTTCAAGGGCTGTGGTTTCTCAATATATGGTATAATTAATTTGTTACGGAGAATGTATTTTGTGTGTTAATAAATGGAATCATTTCAGAAAAGATGCAATGCAGGAACATGTGCATTTTATGCCAGAAATTTCAAACTGTTTCCAGAAAAAAATGCATGTTTCTGTTAAGTCTCAGTGCAAAGATGGAAGCTATATGCTTTTCTTTCTTACAGGCTAAGTGGGTCTCAATGGTGGAATAAAGATATTTATTTTTCATTAAGACTAATTTTTAAATTTCGTGACTATTTGCCGATACCTTTGTTTGAAGTCCAGTGTTTATAAATATGGCATGTGTCACCAATACATTTGTCCATCATCATAGAATCCTCTCTAATCAAAACTAAAATCCAGGGCCATCTCGTAATTGCTTGCTATTGGGAATCTCCAAAGGACAGATGGCCCGATTTGCTTCTATTTCAGCTATTTTGTACCAAGCACCATTGTTGTACATTTTTTCCCCCCATCTTTGTGTTAGCAGCCTAGCTATTGTTGTGGGATCATGACTTACAAAATGCTAAACAGTTCTGTAATACTAACAGAGAAAAGACAAATTTTTCATCTTGGATGGAAGGGTCGTATGGGAAAGGTGGCTCTTCAGTGTAGGTCAGATTTGGATACTGCAAGCATAAAAACTCTAGCAGTAAAATAGTCTGCAAGGGTTTGCTTTTTTCGCAATATCATTGTAGGGGTTTTTTGGTGATTGTAAGCTTGTTCAGGAATGTTGGCTGTACTGAAAAAGTGGTAGCCAAATTGCAATTTTTGCAGACAAATTTTGGGAAAAAAATGGGAGCATGCTAGAAAGCCAGCTAGCCATCGTAGAAAACATTCTTCAGTTGTACAACATGCAGTAATATTTATTTGCAGTGATCCAGGAACTGTGTCTGTGTATTCCTTTTTGACAGAGCCTTCCATGGACCATTCCGATCTGGTTGCCGAGTTACTGAAAGAGTTATCAAACCATAATGAGAGAGTTGAGGAAAGAAAGGCTGCCCTGTACGAGCTCATGAAGTTAACTCCAGAAGAGTCCTTTAGTGTTTGGGATGAGCACTTCAAAACAATACTACTTTTGCTGCTTGAAACTCTTGGAGATAAAGAGGTAAATTTAGATTAACCCAGTTAAGAACGTTAACAAAGCACATAGCTTACTTTCAGTATCTTTAAAATTTGAAAGGGCACAAACTCCAATGAGTGTTTAAAAAAAAAAACAAACTGTGGAAATACAAAAATGTCATGAAGTCTGAGAGCTCTGATGGTGAAAAGGGCATCAGTGATACTTACCTTCTTCAGTATTCCTATTTGTTGCTTCTGACACGATAGTTTGAATGAAGTGTTTTTTCACTGGGCTTCAAAGCTGGCCTGTTAATAGCCTCTGAAGGAATCTAGAGTATCAAAACATCATGTGCAGCACGGCATTTAAAAATATATTTCTAAAACACAGTAATGCTTATTGTTAAGAGACTGAGTTCTATCTAATTGTTCTCTGCAGAGGCCATGTGTTTGAAATTACTGAGAATCAAAAAGACACTAATGCTTGTGTTTAATTTTAAAAAAAAAATCATATACAAAAATGTATTTACATGACAGTTTTGTCAGCCCTCATGTTTGCAACTTCTAGGTAGCCTAGATAATTCAGATTAGTTTAGCAGTGTGTTTGTAATATGCCACCTGAATTTTCTGCAAAAAAAAAATTGAGAAGATTTTTTTTTCCTAGTTTTATTTGTTAACAAAAAGTTCAGGCTGTATATATGTGCAGAGCATAACCTGATATTTTTCCATTATTAAAGACTTTTTCAGCAGCTCAACAAATGTTAAAGCATTTGTCTGTTTAAAGATTCATAACTCATTTAATTTCATATTGAATCTTTAGCATGCAATTAGAGCTTTGGCTCTGAAAGTTCTAAGAGAAATTCTAAGAAACCAGCCAGCAAGGTTTAAGAATTACGCAGAGCTCACGATCATGAAGACATTAGAAGCACATAAGGATCCTCATAAGGAGGTTAGTAATCAGTTATTTCATTTGTTTAAGGTTATGACAAATTATTACAAGATGAAACAGCTGTCCAGAAAATGTCTAGCTCTTACTGAGGAAGTAATTTGTTTAATAATAGGCATATTATTATATATTTAACATGGGTATGCGAGGAAAAAAAAACAACCTGCAGTTTTAAAAGTGCTCAAATGGTTAATATCAGCCCTAACAACAATTACCTTAGGTACCATTCAAGAGGACAGTGTAACCAACAGTGTATCACCATAGCTCTTCGAGGAGTAACTCAAAGAAAGTTTTCCCTTGTTTGGCATCTTAAGCCAAATATAGGTGTTCTGGAGCTTTGTAACAAGCTTTTGGATTTCGTTAAGGTTTATGGTTGAGAGATGAGACTAAACATGACAAGGAGTTGTCAACCCTTTCCACTTCGAGCCAGCTCCGCACCATTTGAGAGCATGGCTGTGGATGGTGTAAGGGGAAAACGCACAGGAAGGTATCAAAGGGGGAGTTGGTTGTAGCCAAGAATAGTGAGGGGGTTCGGAAGAAGGGTAACTGTAACCTTGCTCAAAAGTATTCGTGATGCCTGCCTACACAGTAAAGGGTAGTGCATGTGGATATAAGAAACACAAATACAGTAACCAGCCCACTATTAAGCAGTTGACATCAGTGTCACTGATGCTGTGGAAAGAATCCAGGTTTATTATTAAATGAGTATGTCTTCCCCATGCAAGGGCACTTACTCTGTGAAACTTAATGTGGAGCTTCAGGTTTTGAAGTCAATTGCGATTCCTTCCATGCCAGTTGACTTTATCACTCACCTGATACTCGTTTCTCTTTTCCCTGCACTCTCTTGATTTGTTTCATGTAGTGTATTTATTAAATTGTCATGTCCCCATCATTCCTTCTCTATGGCTGTGCTTTTTTCTCTCTCATGGTTTCATGTGTTATGAGTGAGAGAGAGTAAAGGGCACAAGGATGGAAAGAAACAGTTATGAGGTTTTTGTACATCATTGGTGTACAAACCACCATCATTTTGTACACTGGTTTCTCCTGCTAGATAACAGGTGCCACCACAGCACTAATATGAAGATCAGATGTTAATTTTCTCTCTTATGCCCATGTTGTGTCTTGAGCTTGTGTACCTTTTGACCTCCTACCTAATTACTCTCATTCTGCTTGTTCTTCATATTCTTCAGGATTAATGTACTCTCTTGTCATAGTTTCTTTCAAAGATAGAGTGGAAGAAAAACTAGAAAAAACTAGCTAGATTGACTTCTAGAAATGGCAGTCTAGGCATATCATTAAACATGCTTTTGAAATGAATGTGAAAACATGTTTTATCAGTGATCACCAACCTAACAAGCAGTAACAAATGACAAGAAATTACATGCCAGCAAAGGTAGTATGGGAAAGAGTTGTGTTTTTAAGAAATTATGTCCAACAGTTGGAATCAATTACCTCTTCACATATTTCTACAATATTGTAGAGCTCTTGATAGGAAATGTTTATACTCAAAACCATTTAGTGCCAGACAACAAACTATAGTGTACCAGTCTCATATAAATCATTTTTCTATGTCCTTTACTTATTCTTTCAATAGGTGGTGAGATCTGCTGAAGAAGCTGCTTCCATGCTGGCCACTTCCATTAGCCCAGATCAGTGCATCAAAGTTCTCTGTCCAATTATCCAAACTGCAGATTACCCCATTAATCTGGCTGCAATCAAAATGCAGACAAAAGTTATAGAAAGAGTATCTAAAGAAACCCTTACTCAGCTTCTACCAGAGATTGTGCCAGGTCTAATACAGGTAAGGAGAGAAGAAAGAAGAAAAGAAAGGAAAACAAACAAACCAGAAAAAAACCCGTGTTATACCTAAGAATTGCGAAGATTTTTGCAAATAGTATCACTTGGTTCTCGTGAAGGATTTCATGTGTCTGATTGTTGATGGCTACCTTAACCCAAAATAACTCATATAGAGGGAACAAAATCTTTGATTAGCAAGTAGCTAAATTATAACTGTGATTAGTACTCAAAGGAAATATCAGTGGGATATAAAGCACTGGTTATAGTTAAGCTTGGTAGATACTTTTATTTACAAAATAATTTTTGTTGTTTGTACCTTTTTCCAGGTTATATAATTTGGTCTGAAATTCTCCATGTTGTATTTGTGTGTAATGTTGGGGTTTATCACTTGGGGTTTGGGGGAGGCGAGAGGAAAGAAGCAGTTGTTTGGGGATAGTTAAATAAAACAAGAAGAATATCAGAGGTTTCTCTTCCTTTGTCTTTAAAAATAAATTCTTTCCTACCTTATCAAGAGCCAAAATGTTCCATCTGATGGATAAAGACTTTTCAGAGTTGACAGCTGAATTCTGCAGATGTCTGCCTTTAATGGGTGTGATCCATACATCTATCTGCAGGAAGGTAGAGGCAGAGAAGAGACCCTCTGAGAAGGGAGTCTGAGTGAGACAGCCAGGCATGGGATGCTAGCAAAGTGGCAAAAGAAACAAAAATCATTAAAGAAAGAGATGAGTGTTAACAAAAGAATCTTTAGCTGTTATGAGAGTTCTTCTTTCAGAGTTAGGAAGCTCTAAACTGTGAGTGGTCTTCTGCTTTAAGCAAATATCTGTATAATCTAGAACAGTTCTCTTAACATGCTCCCCTATTGCATGACAGCAGCTCTGTTTTCAGTGTAACTTATGAACAGGATTGTGTGGGTTTTAAATTCAGCCTGGAAAATGATTATCGATGGTGATTAATAAGCAGCCTGCTTTTTAACTGCATGCTCTGTATCAGCAGTGTTTGTTTTGTTGTTGGAATGCTTTATTGGGCTACACTAGCATTAATTTACTGTACACTTCGATGTATTTATTACAGTAAATAAGTAAATAGCTTTCTGAGGCTTTTAATCATTAACTGATAAGGTATTAATGTTAATTTTATTGCTTTCTAGGGTTATGATAATTCAGAGAGCAGCGTTCGTAAGGCATGTGTTTTCTGCCTTGTAGCCATTCATGCAGTAATTGGTGATGAACTAAAACCACATCTCAGTCAACTCACTGGCAGTAAAGTAAGTAAAAGATACCATTTAAAGAAATCTGGGTTCATAATTGCATGTATGCATTTGCATTTCGGTTGCTATTGCCAGAAAGTTTCAATAAATTATGTACTTGAAGGAGAATATCAGGGCTGCTGAAACCCTCTGAACATTAATATAACTTCACCATAAAATATGGAAAACTGAAAGTCTGTATGTATTTATTTGTGCAAGAGTACAAACTTTAGCATCAAGATAATTACTAAGCTATATTTCTTACTGCTTTTTAATGTGTTTTGTTACTTGTATGCAGGTAGTAGGGATAATGGCTATACTCGGTATGGCTTTTCCTAGCAGTGTTTCTTGTCTTGTTTTTTTATGCAAGTTCTGATTGGAAAACAAGGAATGTAATATGTAGATGTTAGATACAGAAGTTTTATTTATCCTTCCTCCTTGTTATTTTACTTTCATCAGTCCTTTCAGTACCTCTAATTTGAAATAATAGTAATCAGTCTGTGGTCCTTTTTGTTTCAGGGTATTTATGATTTTATTGACATCTCTTACATGCAGTTTTTTTGCATGTAAACTGTTAATTGTGAGTTTCTTTGTCCTTGGGAATAAAGCGGGACAATTAATTTTCTGTATCTGTAAAGACTGTTGTATCTTAAAAATACTCTCTGGCAATGATTGTATTTAAAGTGATTCTAGGCAATATTGGAAGTTTTAGTAAGTACCAGCATCAACAACTCTGACTAGAGGCTTAAACCTTAATATTAATTTAAAAGAAAAAATCAACATAATCATATTTAGAACAGCATTGTAATTTGAGGAAATTATTCCATCTATCTTAATCTAACTACCTTAGATAATACTCTTCTTTACATCCTTGAAGAAACTTGAGCACTTTCTTTGTGACAAATTTTGCTTGTGTTTGATGTTTTCATTGGCAAGTATGTTCCCTTTGAATCAGCTGTGTAAAATATAATTTTTGGGGGGAAAAGAAAAAGGATTAATGTACCATTCTTGTAGTCTGTCTGTACAGTTTGAAAATACTAACAAAGTGAATTTGTCTTAAATTTGCAGATGAAATTATTGAACCTTTACATCAAACGTGCACAAACAGGCTCTGGAGCAGGAGATACAGCAGCAGATATGTCTGGACAAAGCTAATGAAGCTGACAAGAGTTACCCAGGTCTCCTAAAGCAAGGGCAAGGCCCTCTTCAGTGAAAGGAAAATCCTTACATACAACTTCTGGAACTTTTTTCTTGTGTTTATTTCCCCCCCCCCCTTTTTTTATTTTGGTTTTTGTTTTTTTTTTCTTTTCTTTTCTTTAACCAACGGCTGTCCTCAGCCTGCATGTGACTGTTGCAATAGAATTATTCCAAATCCAAGGAAAAACAGTATTAACATCAGTTGATCAAAGCAGAATAAAATTTTAAAATAATCTTATCCATCAGTTACCCTGTTCATAATCCTCTGTGTCTTCCCATTAACTTTTGCCAGTGTTACTGTATTAAAAAAAGATTTTTTTAATGCTAATTAAAAAGGTATGCTTTAAGCTTCAGAAGTTAAAATATAAATTCTGTTGCTTTACTCAGCTGCAGATAACATTACTTTTTTATTGCTGTTTTGTTTGAGTATCATGTCCTTCGCTAGAAACAAGAAGTGATGTGAAACAAGGCTGAACTAGTCTGAACTGCAGTGAGACTCGTTCACTGTGTTGGTGGTTCATCATCTTATTTACAGCTTGTTTGGGATATTCTGGAGATTGAGAAATATGCCTATAAAAAGAAAGCTGGATTGATCCAGTTCTGTAAAAGTGATATTGTTCATTGGTTGTATGTTTGTTGCATAAATAAGAATTTAGTGTGCGCAGCAGAGGACTGGTACAACCAGTACCTCTTAATGTGGAAGACAGCCCTCCCAGGGCAGCATTGCCGACCTGGTGATAGCGTGGCAGTCTGCTACCGAGCAGCAGAGTTAATGGTCACTTGATGGACGTGAACCATCCTTGTCACCTTTCGTTCTTCAAGCAGGATGCTTCAGAATGGAGTGCTCTGCCCAAGCATGCTCAGTATGTACTTATCTTTATCACTAGAATGTTTCCTCTCAACCTAATTGCTGGAACAAGTAGTCTTGTATTGTAACTCACATGGGATTTTATGACAACAGTGCAGAAAACTATTTATTCCTTACCTTCCTAAAAGCACCGAGATTTTCTGCATTGAATTTAAATGGGGGGAGGTGGGGGAATAGTCACAAATGCTATGGATCTTGCCACCTTTTAATTTAAAGAAGAATATATATTTTGGATGAGTAGGAAAAGCTGCACCAAATTATTTGCATGATTTTCTTGAATAGCATCCTCAAGACCCATCTGGATTAAGGTGTGGAAATGTTTCAAGGGTTTGTTTTTCCATTTTTGAAAAAGAGTTAGTATATTGTGAATAATGGTTCTTTGTATTTATGAAGTTGATAATGGAAAGAGAACAAAGATAAGTAACTGTGTCCCTAAATGTTGTCTTTTTCTTTTTTTTTTTTTTTTTTTTTTTTTTTTTTTTCCCTGTTTTTGATATAAGCAGCAAGCTGATTTAACTGAGAAATGGGATGAAACAGTGCCCTTCCCAGGAATGGTGGACCTTTTTTTTTCCTGACTTTCTTCCCTTTGATTGTGATGTTGTCTAGTTGTAGGAAGTGTATCCTGATAAGAGAGAAAATTGTGGTGCCAAGGATGATGATCTATGCTAGGCTAAAATTCTCTCTACCTCTTCAGGGTGACTAATTTTTGACTGAGCTGCTGCATATAGCACCCAGTAGAAAAACTATCTACAGAAAAAAAATCTTCTTTATTTTTGTTTTCCAAATTATCACTTAATGTGTATTCCGAACTCTGCTCTTCAACATTGCAGCCAAATATCATAAGAAACTACTTACACACTTTACTTGCTAGGAACCCTGAAAAACAAAACTGAATAAAAAAATTAAGTCAGATGCTTGTAGTTACATGAAAGGTTGTTTTTACTTTAGTTTGAAGTGAATGCAATAGAAAGAGCTAAGATGTGGTTATTAAAGAAGCAATGCCATTGCAGAGATTTATTTGGAGGAAAAGTTGTAGAAATATATGTAAAGACTTAAAACCAAGACTGTCATAACACATTGCTAGCCCTTTTTAGCAGCTACATCAAGAAAATAGTATCTCCTCTTTCTTTCCTTTGTTACGTGTAACATCCTTGTTGTTTTCTACTGTTTAATTACATTGTGTATTTATAGTTCTATGCTTACCATTGTGCATATACTGGCAATAAAATGTACATAACATTACTTAAAAGATTAGCAATGTATACATTCTGGTTTTCTGCTTTATTTGATCACATGCTATAAGAAAAATTATAAATGTGATTGATACAACATTGGTTTTAAAAAAAATTATCTTAATCTTCATGTTTTGTGTGTCCAAATGATGTTTCTTTATATACTCTTGTTACTAAATCTGACTTGGCATTTGAGAACATGCTGTGAATATAGGTGTGCTAGACAAATTTTTTAAAAATTGAATAGAGTCTTTATGAACACAGTTTCCTTCCTCTAGGCAGGTTTCTTGTTTATTATTTCATTTATTTGCACATTATACATCATTCGCATTTTATTTTTTTAATATTTAAAAAAATATTTTTCAGTCTACAATCCTGTAGTTGTTTCATTTTGATTATACAAAAGGTCACTTAAAAAAATTGCACAAATTCTAAGCTTAGTAGTCCTTCCTGTATGTTATTCCTGCATTTTCTGTAGGTAATATTTCTTTTCAGAGGATCATTGCAAGATGACTTTATTTGTCATCTTTTTGAAGATGCTATTTCATACTGAAAATATAAGTTATTGAAACATACAGTATATATTCTGGATGGAACCTAGTTTTTTTATGTGTAAACAAAAGTTGGTAAGAAAGAAATGGTCCTGTATGACTGAAAAATTTTGCTCCAGGTGGGGGGGAGAAAGATATTTACATAAAAGTTTTTTCATTAGTTTTGCTTTTAAGCCATCTTTAAATGGAGATATCCCATGTATTAAAAATCTGAATGCAATATATTTAAATTAATATTTTACTCATGATATGACTAGTTCTGTTTCTAACAAAGATGGGGTTGCTATCTTTGTAAACAGGGTAGAATCTGTTTATATTACATGAAGCCATCAGAATGTAAGAATTTGGAAAGAAAATTATTTCCACGGCAGCCAGTTATCAGATTCACTGCATTGCTTTTGTCTTCATTTCCTATATTATAAATAGACATTGGCTCAGTTAAATTGAAGCAGTGATTAGTCATGCCTTATGTTCCTGCTGGAGGTGGTTTCTCTAATGGATTAGCATAAAGATCTGGGAAAAACTAGGACAGATATAAGTTGCTGTTCTTTCAGAAAGGGGTTCTGTATGTTCTCTCTAATATCCTGTCAGGATAGGTCATTGCAGTCATTTGGATACCGAAATGTAAATCTTAAAGGTTGAGTTTGAGCTTAAAAAAAGAAGAAGGAAAGCTACATGCAGAATCAGGATAAGAAATGCATATCTTGGATGTCTCAGACTTTGATGTCATTTGCTTTAAAGAATTTTGAGTAACACATTATGTTCAGCTGAAGCAAGGAAGTTGGGATAATAAATGTAAATTGAAAGGAGAGCTGATGATGTAAATTTTCCTGAGTTGGCTTGCTTGTTTGTTTTTGAAGATAAAGGTTGGAACAGATTGAGTTGTGTTTATTATTTGCGGTCTGAGTCCCAGAGCAAAAAGAACAAACATTTGTATCCTGAAATACTTACATATTCTTAGTAGTTTCTATGAATGCTTAAACATTTAAGTAAATTCACAAACCTACCCATGTAAAAATTCTGTTGAGAATGCAGGCCCAAACTGCTCGTGGTTTTAATTTTCAGCAGAGGAATTCAAATTGTGCATATGACATTGTCCCTTTTCAAACAATCAGAAAAGCGAAAATAATCTTGGGGAATAAATATGTTGAATTACTCTACAGTTACTCCCTATGGTAGCTGGCGAGAATGGTTCCACTGGCTGTGTCAGGTTGGGATTCAGCAAACACACAGAACACAATAAACATAAATATGAGGAGGATGAATAGGCTGTTTGGGAACTGCAGGATTATCTAAAGAATGACAACTAGTACTTTCTCCCAATTAAAACAGTAAACAGATTTGTAGTTCCAGTCTACTTCCAGGTAAGATGAAAGTCAATATTCATATTACATTCACTGAAGAAAACGTCTTAAATTTTCCTCCCTACATTTCCCAATTAAGCTTTTCAACTCGTTAAAAGTACATACTTTGAAGATTTGCTTCATACTTTACGTATGTGTTCCACCGTCTTTTTTGTTAAAACAAGGAAGATTTTCAGTAATGTGGGAAGTTTGAGGAACTAATTATGCTAGTCAGGCAGGTAAAAAACTTCATTTACTCTTTTTCTATATTGCGTATACGTTTGTATACTTAAGTATATTTTAAGACCTCAGGGTTCCCAAGCTGTGCAGCTTGGATTATGCCAGCTGAAGAAGTGTCTTCCTTTGCTGATTAAAATTTTAGGATAATAAGTGTATTTACTAAGAAGTTCTCTACTGAAGGGACAGAATTGAAACTCTGTAAACTGCTGCTTAACAGTAATTCTTGAAAACTTGGAAAATGGTGTTTTGCAAGCAGTTTTGAATGTGATTTCTGTTGAATATAAAAATTCTGTAACTCTTGATGTATTTTAGGTAGATAAAAATGTTCCCAGTGGGGATATTTTGAGGGAGTAAGATTTTTAAAATTACAGATAATGAAACATGGAAAATATTTCTTCAGTGGAAAAAGGAACATACCTTCATGTAACTGTTTGATATCCAGTTACAGGGATATCAGACAAGAGTTAGAAAGGTAACTAAACTTGATCTTGGACATCAACATTTTACAAGTTTTCTTTTTCAGTGTCCTTTCTTTCCTAGATTATGATATTGCCCACCAATGCTCATCTTTGGACCTCTATCAACTCCTACTACAACCAGGACTGGAGATGGTTCTTGGAACTATATGTCAGGCTAGATTCAAAAGTAGTGCCCGTCTGTCCAAGAAAGATCTGTAGCAGTAAAAGCAAGCTGTAGATTTAAGTTATGCAGTAGACAGACATTCTCAAAAGTCAGCTAGACTGGTTTAGGTATTCCCTCACCATCTATTCATCTCTGCCCCTGGCAGAGCCAACAAAGTACTTTGTGGGAGCTCCCCTACTCTTTTCCTCACAAATCAGATTGGGGAACAATCTCTGGTCCTCCAGCAGCACCCTGGGCTCACAGAGATGCTGGCAAAATGAATGAACATCTGTCCTGGGCTTTGAGGGTCTGCCTGTATTGTGGGGGGAAGAAAGAGAATACAAAAAAAAAAACTTAGCACAGTTTGTTTAACCTGAGCACATGTAGCTCATGTCAAAATACCAGAGAAGACGAACCGTTGATTTCAGCGTAGATAAACAGGTCAAGTGCAAGCCTGTAGGGGAGCTGGATGTGCGTTTCATTTAAAATTGCAGATTAGCATGTTTTAAAATGCTTAATTAATCTATATGCTAGTCTGAAATAACGCATTTGAAATGTAACTAATGGTAGGCAACTGCAAAATGCCTTTAATCTGGAAAAATAGTAATTTCCGGCCTGTTACTTTGTGTCCTTTCAGCATAACTTAAACTGATGCAGATAAAACACTTTTACACCATAGCTCAATGTCATTGTAGATGGCTGTATCTTATGTAAAGAATTTCTGAGCTGTTTGATGCGGTTTTTGATCTTCCAGATTACAGCTGTGGCCATGTTGGCCAGCTAATCAATTGAACTATTTTACCAAGACAAAATTATCTGTTTCCTCTGAGGAATTTTCATGCATTACTATTTATATAGCCTGTATAAGAGGGGAAATCTAAATTTGTTAAGATATAAGTCTTAAACTTTTTAAAAGCTTACTTGAAGTAAGAGTTGGTATCATCAGAGGCTGCCTTTTCTCAGAAGCCACTGCTTCTTGAGCCATATAAGAACATTTTTGCCTTGTTAGGAAGTGAAAAATGCAGGTTTGTTAGAAAATATGAGAAGAAAGACATGGTGTAATATACCTAATTTAACCCCCTGTAACTTGCAGCTATTGTTCTTAAAAACCTTAAAACCCCTGTGTAATTGGTAGTGTTTTTAGGAAGGGGGTTTTCTTGGAATACACATCATCGCACTTTCTGCTTTGGGAATTAAGATGAAAATAGTGATGTAGGAGGATTTTGTCCACACAGCCAAGACAGCCTAGTGAAAGAAAATGTTAGACCTGGCAGAGTACCAAAGCTGCCTCAGAGCCTCAGGTAAAAGGGACTCAGTCCATTAGGAATGAGAAGGAACTGAGCGCTCTTTTCTATGTTACAACATGCGGGAAGGCTACATGGCTGCAGCACTCTGGGAGTCCAAACTGATTTTTAGGCTATCAAGTATGTTCACAGAAAGCACAGAATACCAGACTAACAACTGCTTGAACTTGTCCACCTTTACAGACTTCTTAGTTGTCAAAAAAAACCACAAAACCCCCCCCAAAAAACAAACAAAAAAAACCCCACACCAGACTCCACCATTTTCCACAGCCATAAAAATGTGCTAATTTAAGTTTTGATTTGGGTATGTGATGTGGTAAATCAGAATTTTCTCTGGTCAGTGATGCTGTCTAAATCTCTGTGCCTACAAATGATCTCCATATGATAGGTTTCTTTATAGGCCTTAGTGTTCCTAAAAGGCAGCAGAAGAAGGCACAGGTAATATTTGCGATGCTCCGTCTTGTAAGATGTGAAGTCACTAAGACATTTATTCCTCAGTTCATATCTCAACGCCTTCCAGCATCCTGAGATGCAGAAGTAGGTAGTGTGAGGAATATGACTATGGAGAAATAAACCACAGACCAGGAACGCTCTGTAATGGAGACTTCTTTAAAAGGAGATAGACCCCATGAGGAAAGGATCGTGCCCTGCATTCTTCAGAACAAGCCAAACCTATGTTTGTTGTAATCTGACACTTGAGCACTGGAAGCAATTCATATTTCTCTTTTACATATAAAGTTACTTCTTCGAGTGCCCCATATCAAGGAGACACTGAAGCAAGTCCAAGTACAGAGTCTGCTACATATGTGTTTCATCAAAGTGACCAGAAGGGGCTGTTGAAGCATTTAGTGTCCTCAGCACTGTTATGTATCAAGCAGAGTGCCATTCTGGTCAGATGCCCTGGGTTACCTTGTCCCTGTGCTGCCAGTGCCCTAAGATTTCTACTGCAATTTAGGAGGTCTACCAAAAGTGCTCTTTGTGAGTGTTTCCATTTCCCCTTTCCTTTTGTTGGCAGGCCTGCTGCTTTCTGTATCACAGAGGGAGGACTGGTAAGTGAGCAGTTCTTGCAGTGCTTCAGTGTTCAGCAGGCCCAGACTATGACATCTAAAACCATCCAACAGTCCAGATTAAAGGTGGCAGGTGGACATGGAGAACATGCAGGCATTGCTGCTTATCCTTAATTGCACTACACAGACACAGGGCAGTGCTGTTCACAGGCTGTTTATCAGCAGTGACCACATACTTCTGCCACCCTCAGATGACCAGACATAGCAAAAGAACTGGGCTGGATCAGCTCTTAACATGTCAGGAGATGTGTGGAGAACTGCAAGTCAGTGCAGCAATGAATCACATGCAGAAGTTATTCGTGCTTGTGATTGTTGCTCATCAGTGATTTTAAGTTCACTATAGTGAATACAGTCGCACTAACAAGGTATAAAGGAGAGACAGAGAGGTTGTGTGTTCAAACAGTAAGAGGGGCTAGAAATGTGTGTCAGCACCTTTCACATAGATGTATAATGGATTCATAGCCCATGCAAGCAGGCAATATCATCTAGACTTGAATACCTCACTGTTCCACAGTGATCTAGTTGAGCAGGGTCACTGGTGTCTGATTTGACAGCTGTTTTCATTCCAAAGCTACCCTGTACTGGGTAACAACTGTTACACAACCAAAAAGAGTCCAAAAACTAAACAGGACGCATCAAAATAACAATACTTTCTTCTCTAAAATCTGTTTTGGGAATAAAGTATACAGGGATTGCTTCTGGATAAATATAAAATTTTCTTTTGATTTTAAACTGATCTGCTATTTTAAGCACAACTAAAAGTCATCATGGGACGGCAAAAACTTCCATTAAATAAAATTTTCAGAATATATACTGAATTCACAGTGTCTTACATTGTACCTGATTAGTTTTTCCATGTATTGTCTGTAGAACAGTTTTCACTTGTTCAAAGAGTAAAGATGACATTCTGTATATATACTAATATTTCAGGTTGTTGTACTTCTCAGAAGGGCAATCAGAAAAATTGTGGGGAGACTGATCACTATGAAAAAGATTAGCAAGCTGAATGATGCCTTAGGAGACCTCATAATTTTGGATGTGGCTCATGGAAAAAAGTCCAATAAAGTTTTCAGGCACCATATGCTAAAGTACTTAACTTAGCGCAGATCCACCCATTAGGCAAAACATGAGCCTCCCCACCTTAAATTTCATGTTGGACTTTGCATGCCATACACAAGCCTTAGAGCATGAAATGTTTTAAATAAATAATGTCTTGTTGTTTGTATATACAGTGCTCCTGTGCTGAGATCTGTGAACTTATTGGGTAGATCATAAAGCAAGAAAAAAAAATAGCCCCTTAAC